ATATACTGGAGAAGTAAACTGTATTCTAATGTACCCTTTATAATTAATTTGTGTAGCACTAATATATGGCCTGTCTAAAAGAAATGTTTCAAGCAAGCAGCAACTAAAGACAGCAACCTCTGTTTTGAGCACCTGTTTGAAATCCTGTTGGAGATAGATAAACATAAAGAAGTGATTAAAAACAGTGCCTGAATTACAAACAACACTTGCAAGGCTCAGAATTCATCAAACCCAAGTTTTCAGAAATGGTGAAAAAAAAAAAAGAATGAAAACTAATTAATTGCCTTTCACAGCATCCATTTAAGACAATACCTGATGTGCAGGAGATGAAGTGGGAGTATGTTGAATGAGAACATAAAGAAAGTTTACTAAGGTTTTTGTAGTTTAAGGAAAAAAAATAAAAATCAAGTATTGTTTGGGATAATGGTGATTTCAAAAATAAATTGTAAGATAAGTTCCAAAACAAATCATGTCAAAAACCCCTGGGAACTGAAAAGACATGTGATGTAGAACATTCACAAGAGCCTGAGGACAAGTCACTCTGCGAAAGTCTTATTTTTATGCTGAATAAGACATAATTTATGTTATACAATTCAACTCTTTCAGACTTGAATTTGACAGTTGTATCAACACCTTCCTGGCATAAACGAGTCAGACGCTACTGCCACTTCATCCTGTGCTTCACACCACTTCAGAGTATTCCAAACTTAGCTCTGAAACTCCAGTTGACCAGAGTAAACAAAATGTGTCTGTTGGACAAGACACCTGCCCAGCTCGCACTACACCCAGGGTGTCAGTCCAAGGACAGCAGCTAAATGGGAATTTATCCCAATTTCCTGAAAATTCTCCTGGCAAAAGGCACACAGCTGCATTAACAGGCTCTGCTCTGTCTGCAGTGGTTTCAGAGAAGGATCGAGGGCAGAGATGGAGGGGGAATGGCCTCACATCCAAAGAATCCCTCTCTTCTGCCTTGAGCAGTGTGAGGCAGGTTCTCCCCAGCTTCCTCTTCACCCCAAATGCCTCACTCCAGCCCTAAATTTGAATGCTAGGGACATCTCACAATTTCTGGCTGAAGAATGGCACGTCAACATTTGTTCCACTTCTCTATCTCCTTTAAAAATGCACATGAGCCACTAAGTTAAATAAATAACATTTGAAGCAAAAAGTCTTTATACATTTTTCTTCCGGCAAACACTGAAAAATTTCAAACACAGAATGTGCTGGTGGATGCACATAAGGGATAAAAAGTTCTGGACCACCAACTTAGCTCATATTAAGTAATGACTTGGACTCTGTAATAGTCAGCAGCAGCCTACATGTAAGGTGTTTAGAAGCACCTCTTTCATTTTCTATTTAACTTCTTTTCCCCTTGTTTTACCCCATCTTTCTTCACAGAAGGCAAGAGTTGAAAGACAAACACTGGAGAACAGGAACCACAGTGATCCCTCTTGTGTAACAAGAAAAAAACCACAGGCTCCATACCTGCACTAGGGCATCCTTAAGAATTAATAATTTGGTCAGAAAACAGGTGAAAAAATTCAGAAGATCCATACAACTAGTCTATGAATAAAGTCTTCTGTCACCTTCCCTAAAACGGATCAGTCCCCATAGTAGACTGTTATTTGTGAAATACCAATTGTGACCCTGAGACAGGAACTCAGAAAAAGACATCTTAACCGCTTTGAAGCAAAGGCAGACTTCAGAAGAACTCTGCCAAAAAGGTTCGCTTAATCTGCTCTTTAAACAGTTTAAAGACAACATGCAGCTGGCACTTTCACAGCTCCAGGTCAATTCAAATATCTGGAAAAATATTAGCATCAACTATGCTTGAAGATTGGATTAATATCAACTACAGCCCCCAAAAATCACTGTGCAATTCAGACAGGCAGAGAAGCCTTTGCACAACTCAGGCCTTTAACTCCCCGTTACCACAAGTTCACCACGTTTCTCAGCTGTAACATGCCTCAGATCCACCATTTATTCAGCCCTAATCGGTTGAATATAGCTCTCAAACATCATTCACACTATGTCACCTTGAATGTTTACTGAGTAAGAGACAGACAACTTCCTTGCTTGATTCAGTATTATTGTTAATGTCAAAATAACACTAAGTAGGGAATACAGATTCACACCATAATGTCCTTCCTAGCACTGGCGCTCTAAACATTTCAGGAGATAAGTTTTAAGTAAGAAATAATTGAACAATGAGCCCTACCCTGAAATATTAAAACTTACATTCAAGGTTAAGTGAATTTAATCAGTCCCAACTCCAAGAAGGTTCAATTCTTATCAGCATTACCCTGATTAAGTACGACATTATTTCTTATAATTTAGAACTCGCAGCAATATGCTAACATGCTCATTACAACTTTGTTCAACTCTCCAATTACATCCTTCTGCAGAAGGTTGTAAGAATTAACCATTACATGGTTACAAGTCACTTCATTAGCCCTAAATTAATAACACCTGGTTTCCAATGGATTTATGACTTGCAATTGATTAGCTCTGATTGAAGCTCTTCCCATGTTTGGTGCACACACAGGGTCTCTGCTGAGAGGTTTCTCTCCTAGATAAGACAGGGACTCAGAGGCAATTTTTCCCTCAGTTGGGGCACTAGCCCCTTTTATTTTACGTCTCTCCCTTGCAAGAATTTCATTACCTTTCATGTTTCTCCCTCTGCCATCAAAATAAACCACCCAGTTCAAAGTTAAAGGGGAAAGCAGGCTACAAATACTTAATTCTAACCTCACAATTTTTTGAGAAACAAAGCAATCAGAAAAAAACAGCTGACTACTCTACTTTGATCACACAATCCTAAAAACAAGAGCAAATTCAAGTTATTACGTATCCAGAGATTTTTTCTACAGTGAGGAAAAGGATGAATGAACTATAATCTGGAATACTTCTTTGATCTTTTTCAAATGGCTTGTCAAAGTTGTCTAACCATTGCTATATTGCTATAAGTCAACATTTATACATAAACAAGTGAATTATAATGGCACAAAGGCATTTGACATGTAACAGAGCAAAAAAGGTAGTTCTGCAAGATAAAACATTCAAGTCTAAAAGTAAATTTGTCTTCAGCTCAAGAGCTAACATACTACATTTAATAAAACAAACATGAGATATGTACACAGTGACACTTAATTCCTAATCCTAATATGAGTGATAACCTATGCAAAATTTATAAAGTACTTCATAAGGGAAGTCCATATTATAATCATTTTATAACTCAGTGAGCCATGAAAAGATTAAGTAACTTTCTCAGGGTCACATAGCAGGCTGCTAGGCAAAGTAAGGGAAAAAAACCCAAACCACACAGGGCAACCAAATCACAGTTCTGGATTGTCTGTTAAACTTTCCCTCCTCCTCCTTACGAAAGAGGAATTACACTGACTCTTTGCTAGTCCCTCGTTTACATAAAAAGGCAGCAAGGAGTCATTGTTCCTTCAGGCAAAAGGAGCAAGAGTCCTCCCAAAAATATTCAAGCCATTTTATTTCCTTTTAAAAACTGTTGCATACAAGATTAGCTGGTTTGCGGTACTTCTCAACTTGCAAAACCAAAAGTGAACAGAATTAACATCTAATTTCACAGTCAATTTAAAAAAAATTAATTTCCAATTTTTCTACACTGATGTAAACACACTTCAAAGATGTCAATTACAATGCCTTTACAGATACTCCTTGTCCTCCAATTTCTTTTTCATCCCAAATTGTGTTTATTGGCAAAGCAACTTACTGTCAAAAGAAAACAAATAAAAGATACTTGTTTTCATAAAAAACCAATTACAATTACTTTAAAAATGTTAATAAGGCCTCCACATAGTACTAAATGCTGCTGAAGAAAACTGTTTCATCTGAAAAATGCAATATTTTCTAATAGAAGAGTATCTCTGGTTAAAGTGTTCATGATAAAATTATACAACGTAAATTTACTTAATGAAACTATGGTTTTACTGCTCAACCTCTTTATACTTCAAAGAAGAAACACAGCAATTTAAAAACGCTGTTATGTACAAGATACGGACGTCACAATTCCTCAACTACATGTCCTTTAAGAAAAACTTTCTCCATTGAAAACAACCAGGTATGCACATGGCAATCAGAAGTCACAGCAGGTTTCTGAAATCTGCTTCTTTCAAATACATCTGATCTCTACGCAAGTAATTTACTGTGTGATACCACACAGATGTTCACAAACATGTACTTTCCTCCTTCAACACTGCACACGTTAACAGAGCTTATCCTTTGTGTTTTATACATTTGGGAAACACAATATACAGGTCTTTATTTCAAAATATTTATGATAATATCGCATTAACTAATTTTTCTTTTGCTTATTTTGATACTCTGAAAACCATTTGAACTAAAAATTTAGGACAACAAAACTGAAACGATGCAAAAAGGTCTAGAATCATGCATTCTCTCCATTCACAGAATTTAAAAAAAATATCAAGCAAAATTAGCTTAGTGAAGCAGCTAAGTTCCTTGTTTGTTTTAGAAGTCAGAAACATAAGAGAAGGCAAGGTCATGCAATGCCATTCCCATTTTTTTATATAAAAAACATGAAGGCATTTAGATGCCTGAAGTAATGATAAAAATCATTGCTGATTTTTACAATAAATATATATTACTGCTTTTTAAGCTTAGAGATTATTTCAAATAGCCTTTTATTATATTAAATAAAATAAGGATTCTATTTATACAGGAAGAGTCAAGTAATAAAATGAAGCCCATATTCCTTAAGACAAGATGCATTCATGCCTCTCCCACTGGAGGGACTGGTTCAACAATTTTACAGTTAAACAGAATTAATTCTACTCTCAAAAATCCATTGACCTTAAGCTTTTAACAAACATTTTCAACTGCAGAGTGTATTGTCAATATTTACAAATCCTTAAAATTATATTTCACTAGAACAGCTTTTATTTGCTATATTAATATTTCCTTGCAAATGTATGCTTATCCATATCAGAGAAGAAGAAACAGCTGCTACTCACAGGAAATCTCTGGGGTCCTACAGCAGGTCTTGGCTGGGCTGGAACTGGCAGCAAGGGCACTGAAACAAGAAGCACCTTTTAACACCATTTGTTTTACCTAACAGTTGTTGCTGTTATTTCCAAAAGCAGTTGCAGTAAGAACCCCTGATTAAAATCTGCTACATTCACCCTCAAATGTCACAGTTCCTACAATTAACTTTAAGCAACCATTCCCTCCCCTGCAACATGCAACAGGGCAATTAGGATTCTCCTAGTTAATTTACATAATTTAATTCCATATTTTCCAGAATTAAATTGCTCCTTGTTGCAGGAAGGAAAACTAGAATACTTATTCAGCCAGAGACATCCTGTAGACAAAGCTGACAGAGACTCTAATGATAATTTCATGTTTCAAATAGAAGGATACACGATTAATTTGCCTTTTCAACTTCACACTTCTCAAAATTTCGTAGGTATCTCCCAGTCTCACCAAACTCCCACAACAAGCATAAGCATAAGGCTCTACTGGTATAAATCACTGTTCATAGGAGGGTAAAATGAGGCAGGCAGTGGCAATTAACAGCAAGCGAAAAATACTTCATCTGGCCTTGACATCATAATGGTATTTGCAACTGTGATCACAGTTTGTGCAGTCACAGAGCTGCTGAACTCAGATGAAAGACTGCTATTTCACAGAGACACCAAAAAGAATCAGGAGACCCTTTTCCTGAAAAGTAACCTCCAAAATTAGTATTTCAGGGGGATTAACTTGGATGTTTCATCCAAACCACTGCATTTCAAAAGACAAAAAAATATTTCCCAAAGTATTCACTTAATATCATGGCATAATGCACAAAGCATCTACTGCTGGATCAGCTCGGGGACTGAATCTTTATTGCAGTGCCCAGTATATGACAGATCTCCCATTTTCCAATGCAGGTTTTTTCTTGAGTTGTCCAAGTGGTTAAAATGACAAATGTTTCAATGTTAAACAGAAGGCCCAGGGAAGTTAAATAAAGCATTTCAAAGCTGAATTTACTAAAAACTTTTAGTAAGGTTATTTTTCTTCATATTTTTTTCAGCATTTCTGAAAGTGACAGAAAAACACTTCCCACACACATTTAAGTATCAACTCAGTAGACAACTACTGTGTTACACTTCAGATTAGGAAAGATGTTAAGAAATGTAGCTAGTTTAAGGGAGAAGTTGGGTGCACCTATCAACAAAGGAATTTGCTAAGACGCCTCAAAAATCCCTTTTTCCCCTTAGTAACTGAGACACAAGAACTGATGCATTAGTGGTTATTTTTAGTTCATGTCTGTGTCTGCTTTCTATCCACTTTTGTTAAGTACTTGTGGTTTACTAGTTCAGGGACTAACGGGGTAAACTAATTGCACCAGTCTTTCAGCACCCACGGACTGCGCGCAAACTTTGTATTAGGTTACACCAGAAAATTAGTTGAATGGTCTCATCTCAGCTTCTAATGAACATCTGTCGATATCGAACAGCTACGGCCACCTGGAAAGAACTGACAGGGTGCTCTTGACAGATCTAGAGCTAAAATAGCTCAGGTATTACAGGTCAGAGAGGCACTGAGAAAAACCGTGTTAGGTGGGAAATGCAGAGAAATGTGAACTGAACAGGGCACTTGTGTCTATTTCCATATCCTGCCTCTGGCAGTAGCATATAGAGATATATATATTTTAAGCAAATTAATTTAATACTCATGAAAGATAGTTCAAACTCTGTGCCCTTTCAATCCTTGGACATTTGCTGAAACAGCAAAGAAGTTTCAAATAAGTGTTCATCTTCCTCATGTCAAATCTTCCACAGGTTTGAAAGTATGTTTCAAAAATAATGCACAGCATGTTTTTAGACACTATTTTAAGAAGATTAAATTGCTTTTGGCTGTAAATGCCAATGCTATACCTGAAAAGATCAAGAAACAATTCCCATATTGATTATTTAGGAGAACTATAATGTAATTTTTCCCAGGACAGCAAAACAGTTTTTAAAACATAAATGGCATACTCATCTAGAGAGTTGCCATAAACTGCTCACTAGTTCATATCATTTTTGGCAGCCCTTCAGCATCATTGAAATAGTTATTTATGGTATAAACATTAAGGAGGGAAAAACCTCAATACCTGTATTGAAGTACGCTGAATTTCATAGTATTTTATAGTGTGTTTCATAATATATCTATGTACAGCCTTCCAGTACTTGTAAATTGATTATACTCAAATTTGGACATGCATTCAGCCAAAAATTACTACTTAAACTCAAAACATTTATTTATGAAGCTTAAAAGACAAAAAATAGGAGAAATTTGTTTGAAACAACACTGACTTGAAAGTTGTCTATTTTTTTGAACCAAGATTCAAGGGAGATGGTAACCACTGTAAGAGATTTGCCTTTGAGACATCAAAGGAATAAGTCAATGATAGGATTCTTCAAGAGTGGTTCAACTTCCTTTCAGAATGACGTATCTGGCTACTAGAGCTTACATATGCTACTTTACATACATGAAAATTTCATAACAATTTATGGGAGTTTTGAGTGTCTTACAAAGTACTGATATATTTGATGCATTTCAAGACTAACTCAAACCCAAAAGATGTTAAGAAAGTATATTTCTATGATTTGCAGCTAGAAAAAGTGTCCCTGGTGCTGACAATTAGAAGCACGTCAGCTTAATCCTGCTATCAAATTAGAGAGGAAAAAACATGACAGCACACCATTAAAATTACCAGAACCCGAGTGTGAATATCATGCACTTCCAGATGTGGCATTTTTAGCTTCCCGACATCACATTTTCAACAACAGAATCCCAATAAGCTCTGCACCTATCTGGCTATATTCTCAAATGTGTAAAACCCTTCAGGGACCTGGAAATATATTCAGCCAAGGAGGAGCAGGACATCATCAATAACGTGAAGTCAGCCTGATCTTTCATACAGAAAGTTACCCCAAAATACATGACACTGCATGTGGAATACCCTGATGTTGTCAACTACCAGTCTCTTCCAACTGGGGGCATCACATAGGTGTATTAAAATGAAGAGGACCTTAAGAGGAAGTTTAGCTTAGCTCTTGCTACACCGGAGTTTCTGTCTACCTGAAGTGATTGCTTAAAAACTCACCTTAATATGCAAATGCCATTGAATATTTTAGAATTATGCTTTTCTTCCCTGAAGAAGACAACTGATTTCCTATAGGTGTGCAAATAGATACATTCTTGTAATGTAGCTGTACTGCTGCACACTGTGAGACTGAGATGCCCACTACTCTCAACCACACCAGAAGACTCAGCTTCCCATACGTGCTCTCTAATCAGGAAGATTAAAATTCTACAGTGGTTTAAGACTGCATTTAATAGTATGCTGCATATCCATTAGCAGAAATATTCAGTAGTCTTGCTGAGGATTCCTTCAGTAAAATGGATGGCACAAAGGCCATCATGTTAACATTTCTGCTGAGAGCTGCCCTAAAAAGCGTAGCACAAAGACTGCTTGTGTTAAGTTTTGGAAAAAAAACTGCAGGCCACGAGTCAAGCTATTGCGAACATGGCACTAAGGAGAACTGAGGGCATGTATCTTGTCAAGGAAGGAGAGCAGCTGGTTCCTTTCACAGAGCAATTGCAATGCAAGGGGTGCCTCAGCCTATGCTCACCAAAATAACTGGGTGGTCATTCTGTGAGTGATTGGCTGAAGCTGGAATGATGTGGGAAATGATAAACTGCAGTACTTACCTAGTTTTGAAAACTGACATTTGCTACTTTTTAAAAGCACATTGTCTTCTCAGTTTCCATTTTTACTGCTCTTTACAGGCTTTACAGTAGAGTAACAAAGATGATGAAGAAGTTGAAAAGGCTTTACTATTTCAGCTAGCCGCAGTCCAACAACATTATGTCTTACTTCAGGGAAAACACTTGTCTCAAGCTTAAGGAAAAAAAAAACATCAGCCCAAAGCATATTCCCATGAAGTGATAAACAAACAAATTGTTGCTTCTCTGGCAAAGAATAAGATGTCACACTTGTATGACTAGAAGGGTGTTCGGAAAGCTCACCTTGTACGGGCGTCACTACTGTCCCCTTGAAATGTGGATTTATGTGTATGTTCTTCGGTTGCTGCGGAGTCACTGGAGGTGGAGTCATCATTATTCTAGGCGTTTCTATCTGAGGGGGCATATGTAGCCCTGGAGGAGGAGAAGAATGATGCTGATGCTGTAAAGGAAGCAGAGATTGTAACTGTTGCTGCTGCTGCTGTTGTTGTTGCTGTTGTTGCTGCTGCTGCTGTTGTTGTTGTTGCTGTTGCTGCTGCTGGAACAGACTCCTAACAGGTTGCTGGTGTGTTGGAATTAACCTCTGTGAATGAGTCTAAAGTCAGACAAAAGAATAAAATCAATAGGCTTAAAGTCAAAATATCCTGACATAAACCAGCACAAACCCAAGACACCTTTGACCAAATTAAGGCCAAATATGAACAGAAAAACTTCTTTCCCATATCATCAACCGGAACTGTTAAGAACCATCAGCACAGGAAAGCAAAGAACAATCGAAGACATTCATGTGAAAGAGGACGGCAAAGCACAAGGAAGCACACAGGGAATGCACACATTCATAGCTTATTTTTGGCAGGGAAACTGCCTAGTTCCACGTGTAGGGTTCTGCACATGTCACTGGAAACTGTCATCAACTGCAATAAAGTACGTGTGATCGTCACTAGAAACCTGGGTACTAGTACCAGGACAAACCCACTAACTTTTGTCTCACCTATAAAAGAGCCTCTCTAACAAAACAGACCTAACAGCAGCAACAAAAGTCAAAATACAAATTATGGTAGATTCTTAAGATATCAGTTCAGCCCACCTATCTATATTGCTCAAAGAAAAAAACTACTTTGAAGATACCTTTCAAAGGTACTTTTTGTGACACAGAAGAAAGTATCTTGCTGCTCAACACTCTCAAAAACAAATGGCCAAAATCATAATAAGAAAAAATATTATCTTTCTCTTCAGAGACATTTTTCTGCTTCTGAACTCAGCCTAATCCAGTAACTTCCAAATGGTAGTGCAAGAAGATTCCCAAACAGGCAACCTTTTAGTAGCAAAGATGTGACACCATTTTTTTCAGCAGCCATATACATAAAGCAAAGCGGCTACAAAGTATGCACAAGAAGATATTGTGATGACCACAATGTTTACAACATTTAAGATCAAAATAACTGGCAAAGACTGCAGCAATACAGAAAAAAAAAATTATTCCACCTTCGCTGTTTTTTAAAGCATGAAATACGCTAAACTGCAGGGCTCTCAAGCGCTGAGATATCCACCGACTCCTGCCAGTGATCAGCACCTACAGTTACTGCTGCTGGAAAAAATCCCCTTTGTTTAATACAGATGACCTTGTCCTGCAAAGACACACACAGGCTTTGTTCTACAATCTCAGCTTCCAGTACATTTTAAGACAGTTAACAAAATAACTGTGGGCTACCCCTTGATCACACACTTCCTGGGTTTTTTTTTTTGTTTTAAATGGAAAAAGTAACATCTTTTAGTTTGTGATAGAGGTGGGGGGGGCGGAGAGTAACAAAGCTAAATTTCATCTGAAGTCCCAAGACACTAATTTATCTAGTGGTGATAACCTTCCCAGGGTTGTATTTGCCTCCACAGTAGCATGGCAGGTATACAAATAGATTTTTTTAGAAGTATCAGCAAAAATATTGGTTTGACAAAAATCAGTAAGTATTTTACAGAATCATATATTTTAAACTGAATTATGATTAATAATGTGGGACTGAGCATGTTTCTATGATGCATGTAGAGGATTTCTCAGAGGAATTAACTTTTTCCTCCATCCTTACGCAAACCAGTAGGTAAACCTGATTGCACTGTATGAGTCAAAATCCACTTTTCATTTGGAGGCCTCGAGACTCCTCAAATTGAGGCTGATAACAGGACATACTTTCACAATCACCACATTACGTAAAGCCTATCTTGACTAACAGTGCCTTCAAAGAGCAAAAAGTGTACATTGAGTATATATTCATCTTCGTAAAGATTATTTAGAATGCGCTTTGCAACAATTTCCTAAAAGCACATTGAAGGAATACGAAGGATTAAAAGGTACCATTGTGGATGGCTGGTTTGGCAGCAGGGCAGGCCTGTGATCCTTCATTCTTCCCCTATCATTGTTGTCTCTCCTTTGTTCTCCCATTCCATGGCACATAACGGAGCCTCCTCTTCGCCCTCCTCTCCTTGAGCCGTACCGCCCCTGTTTAAGTTGCCTTTCCCTCTCTTCAAATTCTAGCAATGCTGCTTTGGCTTCTGCAGAAAGTTCTGTTGAAAGAGAGAGACGGGGGAAAATATTTTAGTTTCATGCTGAAAGATGGAAAATACAAGGAAAAAAACATTGCTAGAACTACAGAAGCATCCCTGCAACTAACACAAAATTTGCAGGCTCTTTGATCTCCTTTAGGTGGCATGTTAACATTTCATTAAAGACATCTTTAGAAAGAAAAAGCACATAGATACTTTTATCTGTTGCACAGGCAAAAAGCAGCGTGTAAATGAAACAAGCATGAACAAAAAGGTTTGGCTGCTTTTTTTGTTTTTAAATGCTATTGAAGTTTTCCTTATGCTCCAGGAGGATGCTGTGGATTATCTTAAACAACGTAACACTTATCTGCAGAGATGTCAGGCAATGAAACTCCCAGTAAACTTTACTGTAAAGTGTATGTTGTCTTCCACGTGAACAGATTTTATCCACCATCTCTTTTTTGCATTGACTTGTTCCAAAGAAAAACTTCTGGTAGCTGGTTTTCCAGTATATAACTACTTAATATTTATTCTACTGTATGTGATTTAAGAACCAGTTGTACTTTACAAGTGATAATTCCACTTAGGAGAACTTCAAAAATCAGTGCTCAGCTCAGGTCAAATACATGGCCACTGGTAACACCCACCCAACTCACACTGCAGGTAAACACCAGAGAACAGATGGTACTCAATGAAGACTGCCAAATTTGCTTGAAACCTGGGACAATGCTGATAACACCAAGAGAAAACTATGCTGCAGCAGGTCCAGGTAATCTAATTACTTGGAAATACAGAAAGTCTACAACAAACTTCAGGAAACACATCATGACAGTACGGGTAGGGCCACTCACCAGGATTCAGTTACTTAAAGGGGATAAACCAACCCAAACACGCAGCTGAGGATTTTGCCATGTGCCAGTCAGATCCCTTGTTACTGCTAAAATTGACTTCTGCCTCTAACAGGGCAAAATTAAACTACTCTACAAGAAACACACTCCTGGCAAATAAAAACATATTTTGAGTTCATATAAATGGCAATTAGTGCAAGAATTCCTGTTTTCCATATAAACATAAAGGAGACTGAGTACAGGAACCACTTTTCAGGAGGAAGTGTTTTTACTTGCTAATACTACACATAGTGGCTATAGTATCTGAATATCAGAATAAAAATGGTTTGCATCCAGCAGCTGAGACACTACTACTACATCTCCACATCATTACATATCCTCCATCTAGAATACATAACTAAAGCAATAAAAAACTATTACAATTTCTTGTGAGTCTAAGAGCCAAACCTACTTAAACCACCACCTTAAACATCTTCATAAGTAATCTCAATTAGTCTTTGAAGTTGAGGATTGACAGGAGGGCAGAAGGGGGTGAGCGCCGCACATTCCCACTGCAGCACTTGTTCTTACTTGGCTCTAAAAACCACCTGCACAACTGAGCTGCAAAGACTGGAAATTTGCGTGTCCCAGTTTTCAAAGATATTCAGCTCATCCAGAAAGCAGGAGCTTTTTGATTTAAAAAAAAAAAAAGTTTAGAACTTGCTGACTATTTAAGGACCCAGCAAACATAACAGATTCCTAGAAGCCCAGGATTTGCCATATGGTTTCCCATTTCGTCTCATCACCAAAGTGCAGAATTAAGTTTCTCTACCTCCTTTTCTCTCCCCTCTCTTACACCACAATTAAGTGGCATAAAGCCTTAATTTACAACCACACCAGATACTCTCATGAAATGCTACCTTGGCCCTAGACACCTGCCTCAAGAGATCAGCAGAGCCCAAGACAATCAGGCTTTATCAGGAAAATCACATAGCACTCTTACAAAGGGGCAAGGAATCCCATTCCCTAAAGTCTGACTGTAGTATTAAACGTACACACTATGGATTTCTGAGGAAAATTAAGACAAAATGTACTCCTGTCCAAAGCAATCAAAAGCATTAGAATGCAACTAAAACAACCACCTTATCCATCCAGGATGAAAAAAGCTGGTTTAATGGGAAAAATAGAGCTCTGCTTTCAAGCCTCCTTCCTATCCACACCTGCAGCAAGTTCAGTTTCTTTACAGGCTTGCAAGCATGAGAGGGCCAACACGGGCTTTTAATTGGTCTGAGGGAAAGAAAGATTACCAGCTCCCCTATACTTCCGAGGAGAAATGGTGCCATTACACTGCAAAGCAACCGCTCTCCTCCCTTTCACCAGAAACAATCCAAATCCTGCAAGGCAGACTGCTGGTTGGAAAGTTGTTTGGGGTTGTTTTTTTTCCAACAGTAGGACAGGCAGGGCAATTTTTCTGCCATCTTGCACACTAAAAGCCTGAACTCTGCAAGGCAGTTCGGAAAGCAAAGTTCAGTCATTGCAACAAGTACCTACCACTGATACTCATTCAAGACGATAAGAAGCTATTTCCTATTAAACAGATTAGAAGTCACATGTGAGGAAAGCAATTCTTAATGAACCCAGGAATAGAGCTCGGCTTCCTACAAGGCCAGATTATGCCCCAGTCTCTCAGCCTCTTGAGCACACATTGAAGGACACTGAATAGAAACAACTTTAGAAGAAAAATTGGGCTGCTCCAAACCAAATGACTTCAGAGGTCTGTATGGATTAAGCTTGGGGAAGAGATGATGACAGCATCCAGGGCCAAGTCAGTCCTGATGATCTTTGATGTGCAGGCAGGAGCTTTTTGATTTAAAACGGAAACTAATAAACTGTTTTCCTACTCAACGCAAATATTCTCAAACTTTAAAGACCGTGTCTTTAAAGGCACAGTCCACGTACTCAGTTTTTCAGCCAGAAAAGTGAAAATGTGTAACACTGATCTTGAGAAAAATATCCCAACCAAAACAGCCCCTCCATGAATTCACTGCAGCAAGCATCATTACATTCACATCACATCCATGACCACAGGTACTTCTCATTCGCCTTAAAACGGAAACTAATAAACTGTTTTCCTACTCAACGCAAATATTCTCAAACTTTAAAGACCGTGTCTTTAAAGGCACAGTCCACGTACTCAGTTTTTCAGCCAGAAAAGTGAAAATGTGTAACACTGATCTTGAGAAAAACATCCCAACCAAAACAGCCCCTCCATGAATTCACTGCAGCAAGCATCATTACATTCACATCACATCCATGACCACAGAAGCCCAATAGAATGACTTTTTTTTTTTAAAAAGGAATGTAAGATTGCACTAACATCAAGCATGCTTCCCCACAACACAGCACTGACGGCTACAGTGTCCTACCTGTAAAGAATTTTGTTTACATACAAAACCGTGGGTTCAGAGCCTTCAAGACAGACTGCAAAAGCAAAGACTCATGCAGTGACCTAAAGCCATGAATATCTCAAGTACTTTATATTGCTATCAATCACCATGCAGCAAAATATACAGTCAACTCAATTATTAGGTGGCTTATTTATCAAATTTGAGAGCATCATGCAGCAAATAGAGATCGAGGAGAGGAGGCTTTTGCAGGGAGGGGAGCAAGGAAAATAGTCCCTATCTTCCCTGAAAGCAAGATCAGACTGCTAACCAGAAAAAGAGGTGACAAAACATTGTCTTTCCCTCCCTAAACTCTTCCAAAACACAGCCAGGTATTCCCAGGAAAAGGCCCACGGCTGCTCCTTGGCTAAGAGCCTGTGTATGTCGTGACCAAAAGACACTGAGCCAGGCTGGACACTACCATGTCCCCTGGACAGCACACACAGGCTGCTGCAGCACAGGGCCACCAGCTCCTGTCTACACCAACCCTGTCTACACCAACCCTGAACACAGGGCTCTGCAGCTACATTGCTTTGGGTGGCTCCCCGAGAGCAACAGCACTTCAAATCCCCAGGTTTGAGAACGCCAGAATCCCTGTTATCCTGTATAATGCCAAGATTTTCAATACAAATCACACTCCAGAACAGCTATATGTATATATTTACATACATATAAATCTAAACAGAGCAAGAGAATATGTTCTCCCTGCACTTTTTCCTGCCCATGGTGCAGACCTGCAACCTGATCACACCAGGCGCTTCTGCACACACTGCAACATGACAACAGTGAAACTGTTCACTTTAATTTCCTCATCTTGCCCAAAGTCTCAGTCACTAGTTATCAGACTGAACACAAGCCAACTAAGCAGGACACAACAAAAAATACTACCCCATCAAATGATCTTTGTTATCACTTTGCAAATGGCTCTGCGTAACTGTAGGGTTTTGTTTTGTTTTTGAAATTAGGTACAGAGAGAATACTTCAGTTTGGCAATGCTAAACAAAGCCGTTTCTCCACACTCCTTAATGAGTAATTAAATCCAGAGCATAATGACAATTCCAACTCTGGGAAGACTTAAACTACATGCACTGAAAGAAATTACATATTTCTCAAACATGACAAACTCAGTATCTCTAGAAATCAACTGAATATTTGTCCTACAGTACACCCTCTTTAAACTTTTCAAAACCACTACTGACATTATCTTGGATAACGAAATGCTTAGGAAAAAATCTCAGCTACATTCACAAGAATATTCTATATTTTTACTTTTTTTTTTTTTACCAGCGCACACTTATTCTCATTTTGACTGCACAGTTCTCACACACAGTTAATGCAGTGAATCAGCAATTATTTTTCTAGTGTCTCTAAGTGTCAAGATTAATTTCACTATCGCTGGTAATAAAATGGTTTCAAATGACATCTTTAATCAGCAAGTAAGAATGCACTCCTCCAATAGAGACAAGCTGTCACAAAAGGTCACCAAAATGTGACAGGATGGAAATTACGTTTGTAACTTCAACTGAAATGTTAATTCCTCTTTAAGTGTTTTCTCAACTATGTTCAGATTTTAAAGTAAGGAGATGTAGCTCTGCAATAAAGTTCCATTTTTAAACCAGTAGCATCTGTAAAAATTTGCTCTATAATCTCAAAAGTGAGCAGATACTTATACGCAAACAAGTATTTTTTGCTGTTTAACTTTCCACCACTTGGTCAATCATTTGGTCTCTTTATCAACAAATTAACACGAAAAACTAGTATGAATAGAAACCAACTCACAACAGTAAGATCGTATTTTTGCCAAAGATTAGTTTCAAAAAAGGTTCTTTAGATTATACAATCACCCACATTTGTATCACCTTTTCCTTCTATCTCAGAGCTACATCCCCAAACACTTAAAATTACACTTAAGTCTAATTCAAATCACTGTGCCTTTACAGTCAAGCTCCACTACAAGTTTTCTTCTCATTGGCTGGTCTTGTCTTTACATTAAACTAGAGAGTAAATCCACAGATATACAAAAGCATCCAATTGTCATTGACCTTGCAATTACGTGCAGAGATCTAGCTATTTCAGTGCACTCTTGCACCTTTTGTATAAATAATATATGTTCTGTATGTGGTATGTAGAAATATGGTCTTACACTTGAAGAGACATGTGGAATGCACCTCAGCTAAAATATCCCTTGCCATTGTACTACTCTGAAGGGAACCCTCTAGAGGCACAGTCTTATTCTAATGAGAATCAATTCCTAATTATTGAACCAATAATGGCCTGAATGGAGGCCCTTAACATATACTTTGCCTTAAATTGCAAGTAATAAGAGCTATTTGCTAAATATGAACAACAGACGAGGAAAACCTTGATCCAAGATCACACACTGACGTCTCACTCGCAGCACGACGTGGGCTACGCAAATACCACTGTGAAGGTCTGGCTCAGCCTCTGCACCTGACTCCTCACGGCTCAAAAAAAGTTGTCTTGGCCATAACACCTTTGTTACAGAATTATGGCTTTTCAATTTTTGCAAGCACAGTAAAAGCCCAAACTCCTTGCAACAGAATTATAGCCTACTAATTATTCTATGAAACTCGAGAGAAAACTTCTTAGCACTAACATCCTTTACAAAGCAAGGCTTTTAAGGGAAGTGGAAAATTTCATCAGGACAAGATCTGGCAATCTAGGTATGTGCTCTGGGAACATAATTCCAAAATGCCCTGTTGTCCCAAAGACACTGACTTATCTGAAAAGAAAGCAGAAGCACCCAGATACTAAGCTCACACTGCACAGCACCCACCTTAAAGCAATCCTGTGTAAAGAATTCATCCTGAGTCTGGCAAAAGTTGAAGCATCATCAAAAAATACATTTTCCCCAAATGGTATGTGACAATTAGCCAACAGTATCTGATAATTTGCCTTAATTAACAGCTTCCCTGTCTTGTATATCTTGAGTCTCTTCAAAAGATCAGGGTTTTTTCTTCATAGTTTGAATTGATATTTTCGTTCAGTAACAAAACTGTAGGAATGGTACACCTTCCTGAAAGGAAAGCTTAATTTCTGCCCTAATACCATCTTTTTAATTTGACTTTTTATAATTATTTATCACCACTAACAGCATGAAAAGGCAATCCAGCTATCCCCAGAGGGTCTGATACAACACCAGTATCACATACCCAAGTACCCAGGGCACATGAGGGGCCTTGAAGTTAACTCTCAAAACCACAAACCAATGTGATTTTATTTATAGACTAAGACAGAATGGCTGCAAGAAAGCTGCAAATCTACTGCTGCTTCTGAACTAGCTGTGGCAAATTCCTTAGCTACATAGAGCAGTGTTACTAGAAACAAACACATTTGTGTTATGCTCAAATACAAAGAAAATATACCCTTTTAGACACTGCCTAAAGAATCAAGGTAGTATAAGAAATCCAGATTGTTCCATGTTAGAAAAGCTGAACCCCCAAAACAGGGGTTTCCATATTTTTCTAACACACTCCCCAGCAAGTTACAATTTCTCTAGGCCAATCCAACAGTAGGAACAAAACAGGTTCACAGCACGCTTATGTTCCTGGGGGAAAACAGCAAACATGCAGGTATTTCACAGCAGAATACAAGTAACAAGATTTGTGTTATCAAGTGAAAATCTTCCAAGGATGTAAGTCCAAAGGAATTCCTTAAGATATATTCCACCACAATACGTAGTAACACACAGATCAAATAACTGCTGCTTGAAAACAGGAGAGCTTTAAAAGACACCACCAAAAGTCTCAAGGAACAAACATTGCACTGGTTTTCAAAACACAATATGATTAAACATTCATCCCATGGAGACAGACACTACACATACTACAACAGACTACAAATGGATTTGGACAACTAGATATAAGCCAGTCAAGCTAGAGGGCAACTCTTCTATTTTTTGCCGTTGAAGTCTTTTCTAAAAGTTCTGGAAAGCCTGCCTTTTACTTTATTATAGCTCTTTAAAATAATCCATTGCCACAAAACCTCACCCAAAGTTTCTGGAATGTTTCTCCTTTCTCTTGTCACATCCGAGAGCCTAATTATTGTTCCTTCTTTCCGTTCGGTTTTGAAACGTAATCGTCCAGACTCTTCATCATCATCTTCCTCTTCATCAGATTCTTCTTTTGTTTCTTCTTGAAGTTCCAGAGATTCGATAGCTGCCTGTATTGCAAAATACAAAAGACACACAAACTGAAAAAAATCTACTTTCTTGAGGTCTTTGAGTTTTAAGAGACAAAGCTTTCTTTAAAGGTCCCTTTGAATAAGTTTTGCTGGCAATATACATTATCATCACACATGACTCAGTGAACATTTAAGAGCCTGATGAATTTTTTACAAATATAAAGATTTGAAGTATGTAATAAATTATATAGTGAAATCTACTGAGAAAACCCACTTTGCTACAATATTTAAGGGAATACGGAAACTCCAAATAGAACCGCTACCTGATTAGTAGCTACTTTTGCACACAGAACGACATTTATCACTGAATTGACTAAGACCCAAGCCTGGAATATGATCAGATTCAAGTAATACAAACATTTAAAGTTTTTTTTATATTTGTTAACAACTGTCAGTAGCATGCTTTTTAAAAAAAAAAAAAAATCCAACAACAAAACCAGATAACCTTACAACCCAATTGAATTCCTCTAGGTATATATATCTGTATTGTCTTTACTTTTTCTACTCCTTGAGTGTTTCCCGGTTTTAATTCAGCAATTGATAAAGAGAATGGAGAACAGAACTAGATAAAATTTCAATATGCTAAAGTTGTACGTTGGAATGCTACTCTCTTGTCCTCATTTACTTTCCAGTTCTCTCTATAACAGAGAACATTTATTTAGATGAAACAATGTCCCAAATGAAAAGGGATCTCTCAGCTTTGAATTAAAAAAAAAAAAGGAAAAAAAATCAATTTCATTTTCCTGTGCTGGTATGATAAAATTAATGTTCAGAATGTTACACAAGTTATATTTGATTTCTAGAGTTGAAAATTAGAAGTATTCTAATTAGTATGATTTTCCATGAAATATTTGGTTACTGTGTATTTGCTTACTTCCTGTGCAAGCCTTCTTGCTCATTTCTTAGAGCCTGCACATGCATGTTAATTTTCTGCAAAGCGACTAAATACATCATAACTTATGTTGCTGGAGGACAGTTAAAAAAATGAGTGAAATATAACATGCAAAAAATGGTTTAATTTCCTAATTAACCAGATGGTTGCAGTAATTCATATATGAAAACGGCACAGCCAGTGTGTCAGTCAGGTGGACAGATACCAAGTCACAAAGAAGAAAACGAATCAATGGCAGAATGGTCCAAGAAATTCTAAGTTTCTTTATCCAGGAGCTCAACTGCATCCAAAACCAAACGAAACATGGAAAGGAAGATTAAAGACAGGATCTGGAAAGACAGCTTCTACAGCAAATGATACGAACTCAAGCTCAAAGGCACTCCAACTTCGGTCTGGTGAATAAAAGATTTATATAATTAGTTACTGGGCTTTAATGAGCTACTGATCCCAAGCTATTTTCATTTTGTCATCTTATCTCAGAACATGTTTTATCCCTTCCAGGCAAACATTCAAGCGCTGTATTTCCTGACCTCACAAAAAAAACTCTAAGATTTAGCTAAGAGAATAGTTTAAGTCTATAAAAAGCTTTAAGGCTTATATTTAAAAAAGATATTTACTTTTCTGTAACAACTGTATCATGTCAAAAAAATGCAGCTAAAAACAGCAGTCAGGATAGCAGTAAAAAAAAAAAAACAATACCAAACCTCAAGATTGAAAAAAATCTAAACCTCAAAAACAAACCGAAATTGAGCACAACTGGTCTGATTAACATATCCATGTACAATCAAAGCACCTCTGAAGACAGCCAGTTGAGACTCATGGAACAGAGGAGGGATGTTAGCAAGGAAAGAGATTCTAACTTGGCTTAATAAAAACAAACAAAAACAAGGGAGAAAGACAGGGTTAGCATTTTACTTTCAAAAGAGGGACTCCCAAAAGAGAAAGGAGTAGCAACATATCTATCAAATCTATGTTTTTTAAATATCATAAAGCCAGTAATTTTACTGTGTTAATGTTTGTCTTTAAAAACTTTTAATCAGGATTTGGAAGTCAGAACTGGAGCGGCTGTTTTGCAAAACATGCTCTCTCACTACAGTGAGCCTCTCACTTCAGAGCATAAACCCCAGACACATGCACTCTCTATGTCCATGCCCCTTAAAAGCTACACTGGAATTCCAGTTTTTATTCATCCAATACTGGTCTCAGTCATGTAATCTCATCTGTGAGTGCAAAGCTTAATGATTCAAGGCTCTACATGTGGCTCAGACTGCAGAATTAGGAATAGAATGGTTAATACAGTCTGTATTGTCCTGAAAAATTTTGCAATGCTTTAATGAAATGCTACAGAAAATACCTGCGGGAACTCTGTTGGCTTTTGCTAATTATTCGTTCAAGAAAAAAAAAAAAGCATTAAAAAAATGGAACTTGTAACATACTACAAGACAAATACTTTCTTATGGAACAATGAAAAATATTTTTCAAACTTTTCCAGACCAGCACTATTTTATTCTTAGCCACTTATACCAATTCTGTAATCTTCTGCGTCTAACTCACTTTATTCATCAGTATCATGCTCATGCCACCTCTTAACAAACAACAGCCTTACAAGCATTAAATATCAAAGTCACACACAAAAAAAAAATAATCAAAGGAGCTAATGAAAAAGCAGGCACCAAGGAAAGGCAGTGCTTAAGAACGCTAACTGACCCATGTCCAAGTCTGATTACACGTATTATTGAGGGATTTATATTAGTTGTGATGGAGACACAAACGTGTTTGACAGCCAACCATATGTTCCCTACATATAGCTCCAGGAAAGGTTGCCTGAGCTCTGTAGGAGCACACACCCTTCCCCCGCAATTTGTTCAACAGTTGTAGCATGCAAGACTACGTCAGATCATCTTTTCCAACTTTCAGCCTAACAGGATGAGTTGTTTTGCCAAAATTACAGTATATTAATGGATTCTATGTTCCAAAAAGAAATTTGTACAGGAAAAGACAAGTGCAGACAGAATTAATACATACTGGGACTTACAGGATTCTATTTAATACTTGCTAATCGTGAATATCTCTGCATAGACATGAACAGTCCTTGAACAGCCACTCGAGGTCACTTGACTGGACTATCCAGCCAAGGCTACTTAGCAGCTCTCCTCAAAGGGAGCTTAACATTTCCCATTATGGCACCTTGTACAAAGCTACCAAAGAGCTTTGCTGACTCTTCCTTATGAAGAAAAATAACGACCTTTCTTCTATCACAAGGTCAGAGTTTTCTGCCATCCTCATTAAATTATTATGCCATAAATCCCAGTCACTAACCAGAACTCCCCATGCTGGGTTATGATCTGCTATGGAGCAAGAGTGAGAGCTCCAGCTCAAGTTGCAGGACTGGTAACAGACATAGCCCAAGGAAAGGAGGAGAAAACACAAATCAGCACGATAAATCCTGATCTTAGCACTGGATCCTCTAAAGATGGGACTGTCAGGTGTTCTGGAGAGCTTTGTGCCAGAGTGCTACGATGTACAGAAGAGGTAAGTGTTGTAAAAGCTAAACCAGATCCCTTCCAGCTGAAACGTTATGAAGGTGAAACGAACTTTTATTAACTGGCTAGAAAATATGCAGTGGAGGCTTCTACCAGAGACTAAATTCCAAGGGCACCTCCACAGATGAAAAAATGGGAATAAAAACAAAACCAAAAGCTTCTGAATAAGTTTAAAACTCAGTTGTTTTGATTTAGACTCTTTTCATCATTTTCCTCCATGCTGATACGTAGCATGTTCTTTTTGAACAGAAGGACTTAAATGCAGAAGTTCTGACTAAACACAGATGAACAATCTCTCAAACAGACACACTGGCCTTTTTTTCCAAGTCTGCAGCCTATCAAAGTGAAAGCAGTGTGCAGCACTTCTTGATGCAACATTCTCTGGATTAAAGTCCTCGTCATTTCTTATCAGCATAACCCAAAACATGGTTTAAATTTATGCAATGAGAAACCCACTATCACATATTTCACAGGAGACTAGCTCCAATATAGAACAAAGAAATTATGAATCCTAATTTTAGGAGGTTAAATGTTTATGAACATTTTATAGAAACAATTAGTGGTATTTTTCTTCTAAAAATATTTAGGACATGATAATTCATGTATTTGACAGTTTTACCACACCTAAGAGCTGCTGAAACTTTTGGATACTGGGTTTTGCTTTGAAACTTCAGAAGGCAAAAATATTTTCTGAAGCATTGCTAAATTTTTCAAGGAAGCTCCACAGAGAGTGTTATTTATTCAAAAACCAGGTTCTAAGCAATGTTTCAAATTAAATACCAAGTGAAAAAAGCATGCCTTGAACCTGATCTGGCCAAGGACATGAACTTTTCCTGTCTCTTCCTCCCACCTCCCACCTGAGCATTACTCTTAACACGGCTGTCACCCCTCTTATTCACCAGTTTCCCTTCATCACGGTCCAGTTCCCCAGCCATTCAGCTTTTCTCTTGGCTAACAAAATTTCTCTATGCAATATAATAAGAGGCTTTATTTGGTTTTAATGTGGAAACTGCTTAAAATACAACACTACCAAACACTTTTCTCTACCAGCTCGCTCTCAGTTACTCAGGTGCCAAATTTCAATCAAGAAATAATAATGCTATTTATTTGTACAGCATCTATTACATTACATAACTGTACGTATGCCTATTACATCTATCTATTGCACACACAGCTCCATTCTTGTGTTGCATTTTTTAGAGGAGAATGCCAACAATAACCCTTCTTTACAAGCAGCAAATGTTACAGGGTTTAAGGAGGAGTGCTGTTATATAACACGGGAATGAAGAATAAAACTATTCAGAGCTGGAGGCACCATCTAACCACAGAAGAGAGAGAAGTGCACACTATACAAAGGTTCTCTCTTGGTGGCATTCTCATTTGGAAAGTGCAACCCTATAGCCAAATGTAAATGAACTACATATGAAATAATAAAGGAATAAAAACGGTACTATTTTGGAAACAAGAAACCTGTGGCAATCTGCAAGTCATGACAATAAAGCCAGGATGTAGATTATCTGAATAAAGATGTGGCCAAAATGTTCACATTACGTTACAAACAAATTCTCTAAAAGGTCTTTCAACAAAATAAATTAAAAGCTTACTTTGATGTTGTTTTTTTGAATGAAAGAAATCCAATTGTGATTTAGACAAATTTAGACAACGCGATTATTACAGAATTCTTGCTAGTTCATACTCCAAAAATTAAGCTGTAGTTATTTAAAGAAATAAGTTTGCCAGTGAATCCCAGCTATGTATTTAACTTTACATGATGTGTAAACATCATCTCATACAGACTGCGGCTGCAGATAGCACAGGTGCACCAGGTTGCTTTTAAAACACCACAAGGAAAGTGAATGAACAAAAAGTGTTGAAGCGTTTCACAGTTCTTTGGAAGGGTAGATTTAATACTTCAGAAGTAGGAAATTAATTATGTTTAAGGTATATTTGGTGTAAGATGTCATGCTTGCAACAGTGAAGACTGAACAATGCAGGTGGCCCCTTCCAATGCATCTTTCTTCTAGCAAAGAATGTTGCTTTATTATGTTTGATATAACTAGAGAGTATCACAGCACACCCATTTGTTAGAACTTCACAGAATGCTGCTGTGTCTTTGAGGAATTAATTTCCTGATGAGTTAAAGCTCCAAAGAGGGAACACACTCTGACTACACTTCTCAGCAGGTAATCCATTCAATCCTATTTAATTAAGAACTGGAATAAAAGTAATATTAAAGCAGATTCCTGGTGGGGAAAGGAAAAAAATCCCACATCAAAAACTTGCTATAAATTAATAACAACATTCATACCACCATTCCAGGCTATAACCAGTGAACATACACTTGACAGTTTTTGGCATAAGCTTATCGCAAATGAAGGAACTCATCATTTTTCCTAATCGAAGAACTAAGATAAACTTCATAGAAATTTCAGTCCCAACACAACTTCTTTCAAAACAATCTCAACTTTGCCTTTCTGACATACAGAACCTTCCATGTTCATGCTCCTCCTCAAAGTGGAATACCTGAGAACTGTATCTACATTCCCAACCGCAGCAAATAATGCGTATGAAAAGCAAGGCACCACAGCTATTGGAGACTTAACAGACAGCTTGCAGTATTACTGTTATTCTCCTACCCAAAAGGGTCCCTGAAGTTTCTAACGTTGAAGATTAAACAGGAACATTTTGAGCTCTCCCTTATGATTCTCATCCCAAGGGAGAGAGGAGATCTGATGGATCTGACAACATAGGTGCTACCACAGTTCATCTTATACAGAGTAGTATAATTCAACTAATTCAACATCAGCAAAGTTTCATCAGTTCTTACCCAGCAACGTGGACAATTCTACAAAGTCAAATTCCTGAAACAAACTAGTTATTTTAAGGTTTAATTTAATAAATTCACAACATACCTCTTCTGATTCATTTGCTATTGTCTGAGATTCCTCCAGCTCCTCATCAGCTGTATATTCTTCTTGTTCTTCCATTCCTTGCTGACCATATGATTGCATGTAATCTTCATCCTAAGGCAATGACACAAGAAGGTGAAGAGGCACAGGCTAACTTTACAGAATGGCAAACTCGTTAAGAGATGGGATCTGTATGGATTGTTACTGTTTCCAGTACTAGAAGAGAATTGTATCTATCAGAACTGTCAATGATAAGTGACATATCATATAAGGTATAATTAGCAGGGCTTTTAACTAGACAGTAATTTCAGTATTATCAGAAATGTAACCAAAACGATTTTCATTCAGATTCCAGTAATGTCATTGTAAAGATCCAACCTACTACTGTTTGGCCTATCTACGTCTGTTACTTCTACATCCTTTGATTACGAATTCATGAAGGAAACACTGCAGTATTTTCTTACCAAAGGAAACATGCATCTATAATCTATATACACATACATTAACATCAGATTTTACCCCATCAAAAAAATTAAATTCTTGAAACATTCTGCAAGTGCTTACATATGAATGGGTTCAAATCTTAACATGAGAGCAAAATCTTTCTTAAATTGCTTGTATTTTAGAACACCTCACTGATCACATACAGTTTTAATTAAGATTAGATCATTTCACTAACAATTAAAGCCAGAGCATGTTCTCTAATACACTGCTTAAATTATATTGAATTATGCAGGTGACATTTTCTGAACTAACCTCCAATCTCTTTATTCAGGTTTAGACAGTTCTCACTTACAAAAAGGATGAACGAGCAGGACATCAATCACTTTCGGATATTAGCACCTTAAAGATGTCTTTAGCAGGTCAATAATCTTTTCACCTTCGAAGGACTTTATCAGATCTTGTCTAAAGCCTGGATAAAAGCTTTTGCATTAAATACTTCTAACAATTGCCAGTGTATCTCCACCACACAAAGCTGTTTTCTTCCTTAAGGATACAATCCTCAAGGTCATGATTCTCAACTGCCTTCCAGCATGACAAAGGAGCATTACCTACCGCCAAACAAGCTGTCAACACAAACTTTGTCACAGCCTAGATAAAGAAACTGGCAGACAGTGATAATAGGTCTAATTTCCCCTCCTCCCTAGGGAGGTAAACAGATTTCAAATCAGTCTAAAACCCTATGCACATGAAGCAATGTTATCTTCGAAGATACAATAGAAAGAAACTCACTGGAAATTCATCTAGGGGCTCATTGATTTCAAGGTCTAGCACTTCATCTTCTTCTCCAGGCTCTTCCCCATATTCTATTTGGTCTTCTGTCAGTTCAGGATCATTGCCTTCATAATGTCCTTCCTCTGCATACTCTGAAGCATACACTTCAGGTGCTTCAGATTTGTCATAACCAATTTCATCTTCCCCTTGGTCATACTCAGACTCATGTTCTATTGATCGATCGTTGATGGTCTCAGAGAGTTCGTATGACGTATGAAGCATGCTAGATGTAGCATTGAGGCTAACTGTAACACCTTGAGAACTATGGTATAGGGGGACAAAAAATAAAAATCAAGAGGTTGAAGTGTAACAGTCAACTACTCCCAAAGATTTAGCAAAGCAAAGCCAACAAATACAAATTCTCTAAGTTGGTGGACAAAATTATACCTCACACACTATTTGACTCCATGCCATATTCTCATAATGCATACTGTACTGCAGCTTATCACCAGCTGCAGGCTATTTGACCAGGGGAATCAAACCAACCAGATGGTTTAGCAGGTCAAACTGGCAGAAGTCCTGCTTGGTAACCAAAGCTGACTGCATTCAATTTTAATTCCAAGACTAACAAAAAAATACACAAAATTACTAAAACTGCATCTGTTTCCCCATCTTTCAAAATAAGCTAGTAAATTATTTTTATGAAATGCATTAACATTGTTCCTTCTTAAGTATCTTGAATTCAAACTTACACTTTTATGACAGATTTAATATTCTACTCAAAATAATGTAAAATAAATCGTGAAGAACTGCCATTTAAATGCCTAACACATTCTAAACTAGCAACAGTATTAACACAGACAGTAAAAAAAAGCAATCAATATAAAAACTGGAAAGATTATAATCTGGAGGAAAAGCAAAACTCAGAATTTACTGTTTACAACAATTCATGCCATTGACACAAAAAAGTGACCAACTGCAGACTAGTTATAAAAGCAAGGGGGGTGTCATTGATTTGAAGGGTCTGGGTACAAGGAAAACAAAGGTTGGGGTTTTAAGTTACATTCTTAATATTCAATATTTTCATAAGTTTGGGGGAACAAGATCCAGGCAGCTTTGAGCTATTTGCATCTATCAGACAGGGGAGATTTAACACGAAACCCAAGACATTATGCAGGATTATCATTATCCTCCCAACTATAGAGGCATAAATGAGTTTGAATGGAAATAGAGAGAGAAAGGAAAGGAATGGAGCAAGGCTCTCACTACCCAGCAATAAAACCGCTAAAAATGCAAGACCTGTCTACAGAAACCTGCTTCCACTGAGCACTATTATCACACTTGAGATACTTTCTCAACACTTCTGCAGTCACACAGCCATTCTTGCTGCCCAGGGCTCACAAGGAGGAAATGCAGAGCAGAAACAAGCAGGGACTGTAACAAAATGGGGAATTCCCCATTTTGAAGGGAACACTCCAACCCTCATTCCCACAGGGAGTAAAACAGCAGCAGTAAAACTCTCAAAAAAAAAAATAAAAATGAAGAGACTAATGGTCTGAATTATCTCACCACACCCTCATCAATCCAACACAGGCACAGGACTCCTCATCCTAATTCCAGCCAAGGATACAAAGGAGATCTCAGAGCAACATAGATACACACATATTTTAGACATACATACATGTATATCTATTCATACTCCTTCAGACAACATGCATACAGAGCATGCAACAAGGAAAAGCTGGCAAAACACATAGGCCATTACAAGCAGCAGTGGCGCTGCATCACTCCTGCATCACAAGCATCTTCTTCCCCCCTTCAGTCCAGCTTGAAAAGTAAGTGTCACGACACTCATTTTGACTTGTAACACCCATAATTCAGTTGTGGAGCTGTATCACCAGAGTATTCACAGGGCAGAATCCTCAGTAAGCTCCCAGAGCAGTACCTGCTCAAGCTTATAAACTCTGCACTAAATTTTCTGCTGTGTAATTGTTCACAAATATTTAAGCTACAAATCAAGCCTTACAAACTATGAAGCTCAGACTTCACAGGACAAGGAAGCCTACAACAATACCAAGGCGGAACAGAACAAGAGCTCTGTAAATATTTATAAATAATTCTATATGCACGGGAGATGACAGGTTCTTCTTTATAAGCTTTTTTTAATAGATTTGAGTTAAACTTATTAGATTCAAACACAGAAAAAAAGTCATTTTACTGAAATGCTAACAAAGCTACTGAACACATTATATATATACATCATTAATTAGCTGGCTAGGTAAAAAGCAAAACTATTTTAAGTATATACGAGTAACTTCAGTTTAGTAGTTATTAGTTATCAGTAGGAGTAGTCATTAATAGCTTTGAGTTATCCAAAACACAAGATTTAGTAAAGAGATACCGAAATTCTTGTTCCTCTTCATTGTCACTTTGCAGAAGATCATCATTCAGCTCTTCATCTGACAAGTCTGACTGATTCTAGGTTTCAGAAAAAGTCAATCATGAACATAAAAAAGGATATAAACTTTTAACTAAGCACTGAAACTACTGAAACTTCTGAACAGTATGTATTTTTTATTAAGAACACATCCCAGACTAAGACCATATCTTCAATGGAATTACCTAATTCAATGAGAAAAAATACGCTACACAAGAAAATTAACATTGACGGTCTTATGAAAATTTACAAAACTCAAATCTGCCTGGCTATCAACACTTTTCACTGATACATTCCTAAACATAGCCAAATATGACAACCCACTTGAGAAGTACCAGGAAGAAAGAAAGGGTAGCCTTAGCACTCTTATTTAACTGCCTCGTGACCTTGACGCATCAGGCAAGTCAAGAAAAACCACTAAGTTACTGCAGACTCTAGACACCAGAGATATTTAGGAGACTGGAGGAAAGGATATGATGATATGAAAAAAAAATAAAAACCATAATTAGTTTGTAAGTGAAGAAAAAAATTAGAAGAAAATATTGTGCCTTTTCTGAACTCCTCCTAATTTATCTATCATACTTTTAGTTGTCTTTTTTTTTAAAATAATTACCCACTAGGATACAGATAACTGCAGTTTTGCTCAGCAACATCATTTCCATCCCCTAAAGTAATAGGGGCAGAAAGGTTATACAAGGGTACATTTATCTGGAAGTACTGGGATGAGATTAAGGAGAAGTAAATTCAGCCTAAATAGCTCAGGGAAAAAGTCCTGAGAAATCTATTATTACTCTTCCATATGAGTCAATACCCACAGATACTGCTCAGAGCCCTGTAACATGGGAAACTGAAAACAAGAATAGAAAAAGCACAAGAACATGTAATACATTGGAGAAATTTAGTATTGGTTAGTACTCCTATGGCTTTTTTTTTTTTAGATAAGTAAGTAGATTTATCAACTCATGTTTCAACTACAAAGATGTACCTAACGTTAACTGCTTATATTTTTGATAATTGCCTACCACATATCTGCAATCCCTATCCTCCTGGAATCTTATTTTTCAAATGAGTACATGAGACAAACAAACTTCCCACCTTTAAGAGGGATTAATTACAGAATAAAGATGCTAATTTCCAACATTTTGAGTGTGATTATAAAAAGCTACATAAATTATCACTCAACTTTTTTAGATCCGTGTGTCTTAGCAAACCTATTCATCTCCAACTAAAACTTCAAAAGCTATTTTCTAAATTAATTCATTTAGCAGATAAAGAGGTGACTAGTCAGTTTTGATTTCCCAAACAGAAGCCCTGTTTTCTCCTGCAGATATCTGACAAATCCAAAGATACAGTTATTCTTTTCATAGAGTTCAATTTTGGAAATAGGTATCAGAGCGAGGAGTTTAGGGCAGACATGGGGGTATTTGTTTCTGTTCTCCAATGCTGCTTCCATATTCTTCCCTCACTGGAGAAGGGGAAATCCTCTGCCTACTCATTAGACAAACAAGTGGACTGTGGGCAGTGAGTACATCTTTAACAGACACCACTGACAGCTTTTTTAGTTTTTCGCCGGTAAATACTGCTTGTATTTTGATTTTAACAGCCAGGAAACTGGCAGCTGAAGTGAATTCTCCAGAATGTTAATCAGCACTTAGGAAGCATAAATGGGTTTTTTCTTGGATTTTTTTTAATTGTTAAGTGAATATAAGCTACAGAGAAACTGATTTTGAGAACCATCTCCTTTTTGAACTGTGTGTTATGAGAACAAATACTATCTCACAAAAAAAAAAAAATTCTGAAAGTTTTATTTTAAAAAGCCACACCTGGAGGTACTTCACAAAAGGAAACAGAGCTCTGGGTGCAGTGTTGGGGCAACAGGGCAAACCTCAGGTACCTGTAGCTGTCAGACTTTGGGGAGGTGACCATAAAACACAAAGTGCCATACCATACAACAGAAGTGAGTAAATTGAACAACATTCACATTTTAATATCTGTAATAATTCACTTCAATGCCTATCTCTTACCTTTTTGCCAGTTAGCAAATCCTCTCCAAGCAAGTCATCATCAAGTTCACTGGAAAATATTAACAAATTAAAGAAGTTGAAAATTAGAAAACAGTAACAAACACCATACAGTGTATACACCCTTCAAAAAACTAACTTGAGGAGAACTGCTGTTGAGGATGCACAAAGCTTTCCTATTAGTAAAGCATTCAGCAAGTTAAAAGAGGAGATTATATATAAAAAATGCAACAATAGACTATACATATTAAATAATTGTTTCATTTCCATGTGCTTTTCTTTCCCTGTTCCTCCAACTATAAAACAGTATGCAGATCTAGACAAAGTGTAGGCATTTAAAACAAAACACAGTCCCCTGCTCTAGGCTGGGGGAGTTTGGTTTTCAAGGCTGTTTGGGCATATTGTCCAAACTGCTGTTTCCCACTTCTCAAGAGGAGAAGTGAGACATATAGCTACTGATCTCAAACAGTTCCAGGAATGACTGAACATTAACAAATAGAAATTGTTTTGTCACTGCTGTAATATTAAACACAAATTGGGACACAAGACATACCATACATCCCAAAGAGCAAACTGACTAGAATTTAAGCATGCACTTTCAGAAAGAAAGCTCTACGTAACAGAAATGGTTTCCGAAGAATTTAGACCCAAAATTGAAGTAGGAAAAAGTCACTAATCTCTTCAGCTGTCAGTAATCTGACAAATGTACCAAAAGGTTTGAAATTATTTCCCAGCACTATTGGTCCACCACTGACAGCTTTTAATAAAACCACAGTAGAGAATTCCAAAAAAAAGCAAGAGTGTGTTTTATAGCAGCATTCAAAGACAAAAAGCAAGTTCAGGAAGTAAGAATTTCCAATAAAAAAAAAGAACAGAGGAGGAAGCAAAAGATTAAATTAATTATCTAACATAATTAGGGCTATTCAACACATTACTAAAAACTGCCTTGGTGTGAATTTTTTAAAAAAGATTAAACATTTGATCTATGGAAGTCATGCCATATGTTCTCTAGATTTTTAAAAGCTTTGACTTATTCCTTGATAGTAAAAAAAATTACCACTAACATATAAATGAAGCTCATAGCAGAAACAAAAGCGTTTCACAGAATTCCTCTCAAAGCCTATTAAAATATTCAATATTTTCATTGATAAATTAAAAGAAGAAACATCACCATTGGTAACTTTTTGAATAAACACAGTAACAGTGATAAACCTGCACAATAAAGCAGGCCTATCTCAAGCTTCTTTTAATATAGCCAAGTGTGAAGATTCCCCCAGAAAGAGGGAACAGAATTACCAGAGCTGACTACTAAAAACAACAAAAAAAACCCCATACCAACAACAAAAAACCCTGAAACAAAACAAACAAAGAAAAAAACATACTAAAATATTCTAGGTTAGTTGAGAAACAGACAAAACCAAATGGTTGCAATGTGATACCACATAAAAGCACACAAAATAAGTTAAACTGGAATAAAAGTAGTTCCAAAGGTGACTCACTATCATCAAGACACAAAGGTCTTTCTAAAACCACAATTCTAGGAAATTAAGGTTAAGAGTTCACTGCTCTCAGAAAGACAGACCATTTTTCTCCCCTTCCTCAACTCCCAATACTTAACGTTCTTCCCACTGAATAAATTCAGCTCAACAAATGGAGGAAGAGAAAATAATAATAAAAAGAAAGACAACAAAAAGTGGAAAGTTTTCTGCCAGTGTAGAGAAATGAATAATCCCAGAGATGGGTCCGAACAAGCAAATTTCAGCAGAAGTCAAGAAGTCAACTACTAAATCAGCCCTGTCATCTCACAGGATAGCACCAGAACTGCATGTTTTTCCCAAACCCAAGGTTTGGGCTCCTTATAGAGATAAATGTATAAATTAACAGCCCGTGATAAAGATGTCAGACTGGCTGTTGCTGGCCTCCAATTTCATGAGCATGCCTCATTAAACATGAGCAGTAGCAAGGACAAGTGTTTCAGAAAAAGAATTTGTAAAAATATGTAATGGGAAAAATTCTCCAAGAACAATGTTACATTTGTATTCCCAAATAACAGGGGCCTTCCAACTCTCAGTTATCACCCTCCAGTGTTTGAGAACGGAAAGCGATCTGGAAATTGAAAATTATTTAAATGACTGGGGGATGGGACTCAGTTAAGTAGAAACACAGTAAGAGTTGATGGTTGATCAAGATGTATGACTAACAGTTCACCCTCCCCCACAAAAAGTGATTTATGTTGCAAAACAAAGCATGAAGGATTTAAAAAAAAAGAAAAGAAAAATCAACCAAAACAAGTCTACTGTGTCCATTCAGCCTTTTTCCATCTTCAAGAAACTGTCCTATACTGAACTAGGCGAGTAGTTAAAAAAAATCAAGCAATTACATTACACAACAACATATCCACATCCAGCATTTGAAATTGCACAGACAACCATAGAACTTAACACTTCTGAAGATAGCCTGATGATCTAAAAAGAATAAAATAATGATAAAAATTCCAAAGCATGCAAATTTAATAATATTCTGATACAGTAGTAAAAAAATTTTCTGAAACGATCAGCAAGATGAAACTCTAGAGTATCCAGTACTGCACCTGAAACCACTTCCCTTACAATTTCACTAAAAAAGTAGTGTTTTTCTCACCAATCTTAAATTAAATGCAGCTAATAGTGCTTCAAAGTCTCAGCTTAGTGAAACTACTCTATAAACTTTCTCAAATCCTATAAAAATAACTTTGTCACAGGGAGTTTACAACTTCCGATACAACAGCTGTTTGACTCTTCCAAATTTTCTAACGCATTAAGAGTAGGACAGCTAAATCCAAATGTGACCAGCCAGCACCCAAAAGCCCACTTATTCACACCATGAAGTCAGCAAAAAAGTTCAGAAAATATTCTAAAAGTATTTTGCCTGTAATATTGGCTTCAGTATTTCCGAATACCCAGAGCTGGGAGGCAGCACGGTACAGTGACCCAGCCTGAACACGTTATTTTAATTACACTCTCAAACCAGCTCAGTTCCTTGATGCAGTTCACCATCCAACCCTCAAACAGCTGTGCTGGCATGACAGAGAGCAGACACCCTCACCAGCACACAGCAGAACACCCTGTACACTGAACCTATTGTCCAAATTCCTTATTTGCTCTTACCTCCTAGAGCAATGAAAACCACCCACTTAACCCAGCAGAAAAGCTCCGGAAGAGGAAACTAATCCCTCTGGAATGACGAAGGTAGAGCGGTGATTCACTCCACGGGCTCAGCTCAGTGGAAAACTACTTACGGTAAAATTTGTTTACTACAGTCACTTGAATGATTATTAGAAAAGACAAAAATCTACTTGGAATGGGGTTTTCCCCTTTTTACAGTGAAAACCAAGTCTGAGCAAGTCTCTGTTATTAAAAGCAATAATAAAAAAAAGCAACTTCATAAAAAATGAAAAGTTTTTTCCCAGGAAGGATAGACAAGTCTAGCCAACAGCTTCCGTATAAAAGCCAGAGGGCTTTCGTATAAAAGAACATGCTCTTACTCTCCCCCAAAATAACCAAGTTCATATATACCTCTAAATCTTTACAAGTCCTATTTTTCAAGAGAAACATATACCTAACGTTCCATTACTCTCCCAAAATGTAAAACTCAAGTCGGACTTTGATAAGACCTGAAACATCTATTTTTAAAAAAAGTTAAGTTAGGCAAATTCAAGTACTAGCAAAAATCTATTTAAACCATTGAGATCTACTAAAGATTTAAAAGGAAAACAAGGATGTTAATTACACACCACAAATACTTTGTATTTATCCAATTTGAAATGGTATCTCTTCATAGTGCTGTCTATATTCCTTAAGGCAAGTATATGTTTGGCACAATCTAGCATCGCCTGACACGTGTAACAGCCAACATCTTCATTAATAGCTAAATGTGCACTACTCTAAATGTTAGAACACAAAGTGCCAGAATGGGAAAGAGAGCAATGTAATTCAGTATACAGAAACTGAAGATGAAAATATTCTACCCACCTGTCCCAGTCGTCATCTCCAGCTCTTCTTCTCCAAGATCTTTCTGCACCAGGCTTATCAAACTGATCAAAGTCATCATCTGTAAAGAAGGTGACTACATTAAGTAATTCTTACTGAAATGAAAGGTTTCTGAAGCAACCACTCAGGTGGGATTTTCAGGAGGGGGTGTTGTTTTATAGATTATGCAAAAATACCTTTTCTGCTTCCCATTTTAACACAAGAAAAACAGATAAATACCAACTTCAATAATAGAAAAACATAATGTATTATGTAGCTTCCCCCTTCTCACTATCAAGGTCAGGATGACCCAAGGAAAACATATAGAGCATGCGATACATCACTGGAAAAATACTGCAACCAAAGGTCATCCCAGAGACAGGAGCCCCCAGAAACCCATGAAACTGAGGTACAGGGAAGGAGGTGAAGGGAACCCCATCTGCCACATCTCTGCTTGCCTTGGGGGCCACAAGCTCATCTACCCACACTGAGCCCGCAAAGGTACTTTGAAAATAGAAGTAAACCTCAGGTCAGCAGAAGGCAGGATGATACCAGCAACCCAGAACAGAAGAGAGAAGTCAGGTTCCCTCTGCCAGTTACCTCAACTGGGGCAATAAAAACACTGGAAGTCACCGAAACAGGTTCCATTGGGTACCAAAACACACATATGCCTTTAAAGATAAAACTGATGCTCCATATATTTCTCTCATGTACCCTCACATTAGCCTATCAAATCACAAACTAAGCTTTTGCATAGCTTAGTTTGTAAATGACAATTTCGCTACTTAAAAATATTAAATCTTCTGTTTATCTGCAAAAGAAATGCAAAGCTCGTCTGCTCTGTTCAGACATCCAGATGTCATCTGTAAACTGGAAGCACATACCTTCAGAAACACTCAGTACTCACTATCCCATCCTGTGGCTACAGCCTAACAGAGAATGCACACCTGGAATTAGTGTCTCACCACAGACTTTAATAACTCCTATAAGAGTCAAACAAGTGGGAGAATAAGTTACGCTCAACAGATGGGGAAACTGGCTGCAGTTTAATGGTCTTCAAAATACAGGCGGATGAGCAATCCAGTCCTTGCAGCCTGACAGTCTGAACTGGTGAACACTAAGATGCCATAGTCATAAATAGCTATGAAAGTAAAGCTGCTCAGTGTGAATTATGATGCAACACAAGTCAAGTGTGGCAACTCTTTTGTTCTGAAACAGTAGGTAAAAACAATTCCCTTTGATTAGGGTCCCCCTTTTACTCCCTAGAGACACTTTTATATTTTATCTTCTATATTTAAACTAATTTACATGGGCTAACACCACTGAAACAAACAGATGTTTGAGTAATGTAAAACAACTATCACAACCTCCTTCAATTCCAGTCCCTGTTTCATCCACAGGGGAAAGCCAGACAGATCCAAGCATTTACTATCTTCCGCTTGAACACTAAAGCACCCAATTTTGTGGTCTCGGAAGAAAGCTACCACTTTGCTCTCCTTATGGTCATTCAAAGCCATGCTGCAATGATTATCTTAGTGCACTATCATTTTAAGAGCACAAATATCCTGCACAGTCATTGTTCTTACAGCTGGATTGCAGTAATCCACTGACTTGATGTAACCACCTCCAAAGATCCACTTAAGGTAACGTGACTGGTTTTGCAGCAACCCAAATTATGAGTGTCCAAGTATTGACTAACACAGCTCAAGACAACCACCACCATCAGGAAGACAATAACTTTTTTCAGGCTATGCCTCCTTGCTTGCAAGGTATTGTTATTTTTTCATTCCAGGGGCCACCTTTGGAACTCGAGACCTGTATTACAAACAAACACCTTTTGAAGACAAGACCTTAGCTCTTCAGAACACAATTCTTACACAGATGGACCTTCACATCAGCCAGGTTTAAATCTAGACAACATAAAGTTACATGCCAAACTCTTTTTCTCTGTTGAGATTTCCCTACAGCAAAACAGAACACTCCTTGGTATATTTCATAGTACTTTTCCAGGCCAAGATAGTTAAGCTTCATGGCCATAAAAACGCTTCAGTATCAAAAGAGCTCCTGTCCAGCTTCTAGTATAGACCTGGACCCCACTCAGTCAACGTCACAAACTTCCACCTTCCAGCTCCACGTCCTACTCCTTATTTATGAGCAACTCCTACCAAAATCCAAAGCTGAATTACATCCGCGCGAAGGCCTTTTCACAAGTCCCATCTAGCGGGATGCATACCAAAGCCTCAAAAAGGAGTGGTCAATCTGTGTGTGGAGACCACAGCTTTTGAGAACGGTTCCACGTATGTCCCCCCACCACCTCCCTGTTCTCATCTCTTCTCTCCCTGTCTCATCACACACTTAACAATATAGAGATCTTTAGGACAGAGAGAAACAGCTTTTCTTTTTTATGCTTATGTATTCTGTGACAGCTGACATTGATAATGAGCGTTACAAATGATGTCATTTTGACATTAAATGTTGTCAGAGCCCAAAGCAGGTTGTAGCTCTCCTTTAGAAAAGGAGGTCACAAAAGTCACGCATCTACAAATAGCATTCACTGCTGGCTTCCTCATTTGTGAGATAGCAAACGTTGAAATGGACACAGGCCTTACACCTGCAGTGTGATGTGATACCTAGCAAACAGCAGCAAGGCATCTTTTTTTTTTTTCCATTTCTGAAACTACATGTATTTTCACTTTTCTCTTACCTGTCTAGGCAGTAACACTGGGAAATACCAGTAAACAACCATCAGTATAACATGTAGGGATGTTTCTCCTTGAGAAAATCTTACAAATCAATGTTTGTGTCAAGTATGGTTAAGTGCCTGTAAAACATTAACTTGTACAGAAACAGGAACATTCAGCATCAGCAGAGCACAAAACCTCCGAAAGCAACAGCCAAGGAATCTTTTTTTTTTTATAATTCTCAGTACTACTGTGTGGGAGGTGAGGAGAGAAGGGAAACAAAGAAATGGAAATGAGGGAAACCCATCAACATAAGCTCTTTAAGCAGGAAAATGTCCGTTGTATGAGATGGAAGAGGTTTTGTGTTTCTTCCAGCAGTATCAGTGCAGCCTAGAAAGGTAGCTGTACATAGCGACTGTTGCTAAGACATGCCATGCAATGGCTACAGCTCCCTGTTTCAATTCAAGGCTCTCATGGCAAAGCTCACCAAGATACGTGCACGTTAGCTGGGTATCAATTGGAAGATCCTGACAGGCAATCACTAAACACACTAAACCCCCTCTCTAATTTCCAGGCAGCACTAGAAGGGAAAGAAAGAAACAAACAAGACCTACCAAATATCCAAAAAAGCACTAACTGAATAAGTAAGAAGGACAGACCAGTTACACAGGAGAACAGAAGAAGTAGCCCACCACTTGGCTGTCCTACTGCAGCTCTAAGAAAATCACCATTATCAAAGCAACAGAGAAGTTGCAGGATGCTGCAGAGACTAACACTGGCTACTTTATTAGACCAGCCTGTCTCCCAAGGACCTGGGAAGCTGTAAACCAGAACAAGCACTAAGGCAGCCAAACACACTTGGTTCCCCACACTAAAAAGTTCCTATTCGCTTTATTCTTACCCTGGTGTAGCACCAGCAGTGCCATATGCTGTTCTATACAGCTTCTCTTTTTTGGTTTTAGGATATATGCCCACAACTGTTATACTTTTTCCTGCTTAATAAGAACAGAGCATCCACACAAGGAATCCACAAAAATAAAAGCTTTATTTCCTCTTTGGCCATGCTGGTGGTAGTTTCTAAGTCTGTGGACACCCTTTCAATAAAATCTTCCCTGATCATTTTTCTATGTAAAATGGAAGTCCTAAGCTACACAATCAAGTCTCACAAGCGTAGGTGAATCAGCAGGAACACTGCAGAGCTCTTAACATCTTAAAATGGTACCAATATAGCCTAAAAAGGCAGCCCTACATAGCAACTGTTGCTAAGATGGAGTATTTTACTGCAATGAGATGGCCAAGGCTTCTAGACTAAGAAAAACAACTGATGACTATTGTTTGTCTTCCTAGAAATACACCTGCACGCTTTCTGGAACACTGTCCACATTCTACCTCGTAAATCTTAACAGTTCAAAATTTTGTATTTTGCTTAGCTTCAATATTACACTGTCACGAACATAAAACATGATATTTGGTTTAGACATTGAAACAGCATAAAAGATTTCTCCCTACCCAAAACAAGATGGAGATGCCACAGTGATCCAGCAGTTCAATGGATAAAAAAGTATTATGCACTGTTTGTCCAACAGGTCTTTATTAAAAGACAAGTAACTAAGTAATTAAGCTGCACTGCTTTTGGTCAGAGCTACTAAAAAGAAAAAAAAAAAGAAAAAACACAGAGGAAAAAAGTGATTTACCACATAAAACCCCCACTTCTCTATCCTTAGATTTAATGTTGAACATAAGTCCATCTTGATCTTTCCCATTCCCTGGTATCATATTTAAAACACTCAACATGACAACTTGACAGCATTTCAAGCACAGGTCTCCAGATTAAAAACATCCTACCACCTTATCTTTATGTAATAGTCTATTTCTACAGAATATTTTTCTTCATATTTCCTTGCAAAAGTTACACAACACACAGGTATTGTAAAGCCTCAATTTTCAAGAACCGAGTCTACCATTTAAAAACAGCCCTATGTTTCAGCCTGACAGTGAACTGAATTCCGGTATCTCTTGCTATGCAATACAGAAGAGTAACAGGTTTCATGAGAAACAACCGTGTCTGAAACACAGGCTGGCAACACAACCCTACTAATAACAACAGCTGAACTGCTGGTAACAAATCACGCCAGCATCTAGCAGTAAAAACACAAGGTCAACAGGAACTCCTGAAGTGGAGCCTGTGATGTAAACATAATACATCATGAAGCACACTATAAATCCAGTCCCATTTATTACCGATAATGAAGCTCTCTGCCCCATCATAACAACCACATTCACTCCTGCTACTGCATTACACACGATAACACGTGCACAAACATACCACACTCTAACACCAACAGTTTATCTTTTCAGGGATATCCATCATGGAGTCTTTATACTGGTAAACAATTAATCATATGAGCCTTAAGTGTCCAGTGACTAAGTATTTATAAGGATGTAACAACTGCATAACATGTCCCTTAACTAGAGTATTTCATGTTTTCTTTCCAAATTACTCCTACATCATAGCATTTAACTTCCTTAAAGAAATAAACTAGAAAAACTAATTTCTACAGAAGATAAGTTTGGTTTACCTTCTTAAAAATTTTTGGAGAGTTTGTCATGATGCAAGGTTAAGTGACTAGCAATAATCAAGAACAGAACTAATTATGATACGCTGCCAGGAACTAAAATTCTCTCTCTCATCACTGCTTGTAAGAAAAAGTGTCTTTATTTATTTCATACTTTAAAAAAACAAAACAAAAACACACCAAACCAACAAAACACTACATCTAAACCCCAAACCACCAAGCCACAAAAAAAAAAAAAAGATCTCCAAAATCTGCCTGGATTTGAAAATATATTTGTTTTGGAAAAACATTTTGAAAGTGTCATAGTCCTTGCCTCACAAACATGCTGAACAGTACACAAAGACCAACAGTTTAAATGAAATCCACATGATCTCAGTTCTCAAATGGCTTTGGCCACCCACGAGAAACTGCAACTCTCCAGAAACTCTCCAGCAGCGTTCACAGCCACCTAAAGTTATAGTTAAAACTGAGGGCACAGTACAGCAGAATATAACACATGACCAATCACATTACTTGGGAGGTTTTTTGGTCAAGTCATTGACATCCATCATCTTAAATTATTCTGGACAACAAGTTTTGTGACCTAAAAACTGAGGTTTAGTTCATTTAATGCAAGAAAGCATGGCTTGGCTTCTGTAAAAACAGATGATACTGAGGCTACGTTTAATTTAGGCAACCTGAAATGAGAGAATGATCAGAAGAACACGACTTTCAGTGAAATCTTGTCAAGGAAGCATAAAGAGATTAAAAAATGCGATGCCTGAAAGCAAATCTGTCTGCCACAAGCTCATTCAAGTAGTAATGTTTTTTGGCACTAGTCCTTAGCTGGTACAATAGCCCATGATCATATATTTGTATTTCAGCAATTGTAAACTCTATAGGCCTTTGACACAGGGGAGTTTTAGTGTATGCACACTCCAACATAACCAGTTGCATCAGTCTACCTAATAAAGCAGGATGCAGTACCCACAGAGACCAAAACAGGGCCACCACTCTTTCATTTTAGGCACAAATGCAGAATGTTATTTCCAGTCCCTGTGGGCTGCTGGCAAACAGCCTGAAGTACAACAAACTCAACTGAATTTGTTAGACTGGAGAATTTTTACTACCTCTTTGAATTGCACAGTGACCCACAACACAGAGAAAAGTTTGCTGTTTGCTGTGCTAGCAGTATAAGCTTTTTTCCCAATTTTTATCAACAGCTTCACAAGAGGTTTTTAAAGCCACTACATTGCTGAAAGCACAATAGCAGCCCTCAGATAAATTAAAATGAAATTAAACTGATGACAGCTTAGATTCAAGCTCAAGGAATGACATTACACACTCAAAGGCAGAGAAACACCCATTCAGCTACTCTTGGTACAGGACTTCCAGCAGAAATATATGGCAGACCTATATAGATGGGGCCCTCTTCCAGCCCCTCCTCTGCCCCATTCCCTGTCATGATTCACACCCCAATGATATCTACACTCAAAGTCTTCTAGACCACTGAAGTTCATCAGAAGTGAATTAATCTGAAAGGAATAAAACTTGTAATAGTTTCCCCTCACTTCAGTATGGCAGACCATTGAGATAACAAGTGTTCCTTACTTTGTTTTATTGTTTACCCTGTAACTATATCTCCCTAAATCAGATTACTGCAATCAATTTACTGCTAGATTTTAAATAGCAAGAAAAAAAATCAGCATCTATACAATACAGTTGTTACATTACACTACATGGAGAAAATCACTAAATCATAGAACAGCCGAGGTTGGAAGAGACCTCAAAACAGCAAAGGAATTTGTGAAGTAAAATGAAGCTGTGAAACGTTCCCAGAGACCTCACAGATCACCACTTGAAAACTTTCCAGTTTATGTTTGTGAAACCTCTCACCAAAAGAGCCTTCACCTTCACCTTTGAAAGCCTAGCTGTGCCAACACAACTCTCTGCTCACCAGAGTACATACGAGTACTTTACTCTTATGAATCAAGTAATTATTTTCCAAGAGCTTAAAAAATTATAAATGACAAGTAAGTCCACACATGCTGTCCAACAGACATATCACCTTCCTTCCATCCCATCGGATATATTCAAATGTTCAGCTGACATAGCCATTTCACATTTCATTTTTCAGCCCCGCATTATATCTTTACAGAACATTTAAACTTCAATCTGCATCTTCAAAGCCAAAACTATCTCACTTTGTCAACCTGCAAAATCATCAAATTAGCACGCTTTTTTTTTCCCCCAAGATGTATTTCATACTACTTTACCACTCACTAGAGCTTTTTTCTTTTTGGCAAAGAGAACACTGGGGTACTGTCATCTCCATATTTTAAAGTTTCCTCTACCACCACCCCAAAGAAAATCCAAAACCTAAATCCAAAACATCAGTTCTTATACTTAAAACTTTAATTGACCAAAAACATTTAAGTCAAATAACCCTTAGTCCTGGGCTTTTCGCCCTGTATGCTTTCTTTCCCATTTGTTACCACTATTGACTTTAGGTAGTGGCCCCTTTCCAAAGAGATATACCACTGCTGCAAGCACTAGGCTTTTTTAGCAGGTTTTGGAAGTGTATTTAACACTTGAAAAATGTATTCAACCAGGAATTTTCCTTGACTTGGATATATCCTTGATATGGACATAGGAGTGCAATGCCTCCAGGTTTCTCATTCAGGCAAGTGCTGCGCAGTGATCATCAAGACTAAACAAACACTGTTTATATGTAGCAAGGATTATATTTAGTTGGCCACCATTTATTGATGAGCACAGTGTTAACGCTGAACAAACAACTTCTTGTGCCCACTTAGTACAAAGGGATCCTAATTCATGATTAGACACAAACAGTACTCAACAACAAAAAAAAACCCTAGCCTTGAAACAGAAATTTCACCACTTATTTGAGGGCTGTCTATTGCATAGACATTTGTACATGAAAGCACACTTATTCAACTTGCAGCTGAGTTTTACACAAAAGAACTAAAATGCTCCAAGTGACACTTTCTTTAAACTACTCTGTCCTTATAATACTAGATAAAACACTTCCAGAGATAGAACATGCATGCCAAGTTTACTTCCACATCACAAATCACCGATCTGAACCACAGAAACTAGCACAGAGGTTTTTGCAAAATAATTTAAATGTTTTAAAATATTTAACAACATTAAAGCAATGTCTAAAATACTCAAATATTCACTGTTTTAACAATCAGTGCTTTCCTTCCTAGCCTTTTTCCCAAACCCCTCAATTCCTAAATTTGGGAATTTCTTCATAACATTTACCTTCAGTAGGAAGCTTAATTGTGTTTATGTACTTTATTACATACATTGTTACAGCTAACAATGGTGAACAGTCTGACCCCATAGGTCAGTGGTCACGAGGATGACCCACACTCTTCTCCACGACACCTACTTACAGAAAAAACACTGACTAAAAACATCACAAACTTTTGTACAGACAAGGACAAATAGATCAACTGCCAACTCCTGACCAGTCTTTATTAAAACTGTTATTCCTCGTGAAAGCAAGGCCCACAGCACCAGAAAGAGACATCTTCTTTTAAATATATCTCTCTTGAGCACCTCAGTGTGACCCACAGAATCACAGAATCTTCTAGTTTGGAAGGGACCTTAAAGATCATTTTGGCCAACTGTCAAGCCAACTGACAATGACAGAGACACACACAACAAACAAGGAGCATCATCACTAAACCATACCTCCCAGCATTTCATCAACCTGTCTTTTGAACACCTGACCCCTGCAAGTCCTTCTTTTAATAAATCAACCAAATGTTCTCATTTTAAGATTTGTTTAATATACCAATCAGAACCACACAGGGTTTTGAACTGTTATTTAAAATGCTGGGAGAATGGTGTCCTTCGTCAAGAACAGGAGGAGTGGCACACCTGAGAGCCTTGAGGTCAAGCACTGACTTCACATATTACACTTTCCAAGTGAGACCCTGTGCTTCTGGGCAGTCTGTAAAATAAATTATAGCTACTCCCCATATAAGTTTCTCAAACAGATCCCGTACGGCACCCTATAGCTTTAGAAGTATAGGAATCAATATATCTAAATATATCTAAGTAAACACACCCATCCCACCCTGAGGTCCCGCACCTGCGGTGAGCGATGAAGCTGTTGCCCCCTTCCCGGCCCTGCCCCGGCCAAGGGGAGACAGCAGCTCCCATCACCGCACGACGCCCGCTCCCGTCAGCGAGAGGAGCCCCCGGGGCCCTGCGGTGCTCCCGCCTGTGCCCCCAAGTACGCAAAGCTCGCCGCCCGAGAGGCCGCCCGAGAGGCGGTGGGGGGTGGCGGCGCCACCGCCCCGGGAAGGCCCCGCGGCCCACGGCTCCCTCGGCCCCAACGGTCGCTCCGCCGCCAGCCAGGCGTCACGCCGCGCCCGCAGCCAGCCCCGCTCCCCCAAGCCAGGCCCCGCAACCCCGATCCCCCCCGTCTTTCCCTCAGGCGAAGCCCTTCGGGGCCGCGGCACCCACCTGCGCCTCCTCCCAGGGCGGCAGCCATGGCTCTTCGCCTCGTCCAAGAGGCGGCGGCTCCCGGCAGCGGCCCCGTGCCGCCCCGAGGAGCGGTGGGGAGTGGAGGGGAGACGGGGAAGGGCTCGGATTCAGCGCCCGGCGGCTCCCCCTCCCGCCGCTCCTCCGTACGCACCCACCGCCGGAGAACAACAAACTACCACAACATGGCGGCCGCCGCCGTCAACTGTCGGCCCCGCGGTGCATCATGGGACGGCGGAGGACCGGACCCTCCCTGGCGGGGAGGGCGGGCAGCGGGCGCCGCTGATTGGCTGGCCGGCGCCCTCCGCGCGTGCGCTGGCCCACCCCCAGGGGCGGGGCGGGCGCGAGTGCGTCTGCGCGTCAGGAGAGGGGCGGGGCTGCGCCTGCGCGCGGGGCGGTGAGGGAGTGAGGCCGCGGCGGCGCAATGGCGGCTGTGATGGCGGTTCCCTCCGGCCTTGGGTCAGCAATGGCTCCGGGGAAGGGCCGTGGAGCTCTGCCCGAGCGGTTCCGCGCCCTGCCCGGGATCCCTGCGGGCAGTCCGTGGTGCCTGGGCCTAACCACCCCCTCACGGGGGAGCAGGCCCGCCGGGCTGCGACTCACTGCTGTCCGCGGCCTGGCTCCGTGCGGGGGAGGCCCAACCGGCTGCGGTGGTTTTACCTGCCCGGGACAAATAGTGGAGAGTGGGAACGGGAGAAGGAGGCGCAGCTTTTTGGCGCTCGCACACTTCCTCGTCGAGGATCTATTTGCTGAAGTGAGAGGCAGCTCTCAACAGCTCTGAAATGCCCAGTGCCCATCAGGCTGCATGCAGGCTTCAGTAGGTTGTAGGTGAAGTTCGGCTGCCTCTTGTCTGAAAAAATGGCCCGATGAATCAATGGGATTAAAATAAACCATGAAAAGGACAGTTTGAGCCCTGTTTGGTAGGTCTGTGGTCGTCTCGTCTTTCAAGGCTTGCATATGCAGGGGAATTAACACTTGTTTAAACTAAACTAAAATAGTTCAGGCTGTGTAGTTCTTGCTTCTCCACTCAAACCTCACCTGGGTACATACTTTACAGGCTCAGCGTCATAACAGGCTAAATAGGTCCTAGTGATCTAGGACAAGGGATAATAGTTTTAAGCTCAGAGAGGATAGATTTAGATTAGATATGAGGAAGAAATTCTTTCCTGTGCGGATGGTGAGGCACTGGAACAGGTTGCCCAGAGAAGCTGTGGATGTCCCATCCCTGGAGGTGTTCAAGGCCATGCTGGATGGGGCTTTGAGCAGCTTGGTGTCCCTGCACGTGGCAGCGGAGTTGGAACTAGATGATCTTCAAGGATCCTTCCAACTCTTTCTAAATCCAGTTTTACTGCAAGCTAGAATTCTTCTAGCCCTTTCTTTAAGCACTTCCTTCCTGGGTGCTTAGTTATGTGCTCTCCCTCTCCTTTTCAAATGACTTAGTGATTGCATGGCCGCAGAGTAGATCAGTTTGGATCACGGATCCCACAGTAAAATAATTCACCAAAAAGAGTTGTCCTTTTGAGTTTCCTTCCTGCCTTTTCCTAGTTTTCCGTTAAATGGGGGTATCAGGCCTTGTGCCGTTCTGCTCAGACCAGGTTAAACACAGTATGAAATTGTGCTTTGATATAAAGCAAGCTTCTCGGTTACACTACCTGTGAAGAAGCCAAATCTGATCTAAAACTGTTTAATGGAGCCTACTATAACAACATTAGTTCAAGTAAATGGCAAAACTTTCCCAGGTGGACAAGTCCTCATGGAAATAATTAACAATGTTAGTATTTAAATTATCGGCATTATCTGATTAAACCCTCGCTATGAGAATAGGGAAGTTCTCATGTCACTTTGTTCCAAGCTCCCTGCAGACTTATCTCTGCATTGCATTTGGTCTCATTTTTTAGGTTTTCTTCACAGCTGTACAGCTAGAGATTTATTCTTTACGTATTCTTACAAACTCACAGCCAAATTCTGACTTTAATTTGGGAAACAGATTCAATCAGTAATTGATGCTTGCTGATAATTTAATAGGTAGTCCATCAGTCCAGCTCTGATTGCCTGCCGTGGAGGTGGTAAGTTAAGTGAACACTACAACTGTCAATGATAAAAAACCATGGTGATTTCAGTGGGGCCAGGGTTTCAGCCATGGCTCCTTGGTATCCTCTTTTGGGTAGCTGGTTTGCAACACAAAAGGATTTCCTGGCCAGGGAGGGAGTTTGCTGGGCCCTTTAAAGGCTGGATGGAGAAGTATGTGGGGCGAGAGTCAGCCAGTCTCGGCAGCAGCCTGTTACAATTCACAGCTCTCGACATAATTCTCTGTGTCCCATCCGTTTGAGACTGGGAAAGGAAGTGTTAAGCCTAAGGAGTGTTCACAACGAGTATCTTTGTGGGATTCAGATGCATAGAGGAGTGCATTTTATGGGTATTTTATGCTCTATATTTTTGCTCATTTTGTTTATGGATTTGATTTCCATGACTGACAGTCCAAACACAAATCAGGTTGCCATTTGCTTAACACACCAATATTAAAGAGGAATAACAGGGTAGTTCACTATTACTGTGTTTGTTAATATACAGACCCTGGCACAAAAAAGTGGCTGTTCCCAGATGTCTGAACTTCAGCAGGTATGGAACAGGGACCAAAGTGGCTGTTCCCAGATGTCTGAACTTCAGCAGAAGTCATCAAATTATGATGACAGAGACAGGTATGGTGACTACTCACCCTCACTCCTTGAGTTTTCAAACCCCAGGCACTATAGTTGCTCTGGATTCTGTATAAAAATCTCCAACTTTTTCTCAGTACTATCTAAACCATGCTATAAAATACAAGTGTGTTCCTCTCTTTTCCGTAAATGGGGGTTAACATACTTGGGGATAACTCTGGAATCTATGAATTTAAATGACTTTATGTGAACTAATCATCATCAATTTATTTAAATATTTTGGGAAGTTCTGCATAAATAATATATTTGCCTGTGTGTCTCCCAAAGCAAATCCAGCTGCAATTGTGAATGCAACAGATTGTCTTGCAAAGAGATTAAATAAATAACTGAGCCAGAACTCAAGAAACTTGTAATCCTGGTTTTGCTCTTGCTTGCTGCATTACTGGGTCAGGTTGCCTTGCATCTGCTGCCTCAGATTTCCCCCTCTAAGCTGGGAAGAATAATGCTAAACTTCTTTTTTTCTGATTATTAGAAACCTTTTGATAAAGATTGTTGTGTTGTGACTTCTCTGCATTAAGCCGTTTCCACTGCAGTAGCCACTATCAGTTTTATTTTCACTAATATTTTGGATTTTAATTTTTTTACATTTCACTGAATTTCTAGATTCTATTTTTTTCCAAAATACTTCATAGTTTATTTTTTGAGCAAAGACCTTTTTTATTATTATTATTTAAATTATTAAATTTTTTGCACGCATACTCAAATGGTTAAAATCATTGGTCAGAGTCCAGTAAAGCAGACTTCCAAGTTTAATTCCATTAAACACTTAATAGAAGGGTAGTAAGAACAGTGTTAGCAACAGCAAATGGCTCCTAGTTCCACAGAAAAAATATTCTTCTAGCTTGTCTTTTTTAACCACAGTTACCTCTTTGTGAGCTTTCATTCTAGTCCCACTCAGGCAAAACCAGAGTGAGTTCTTGTAGCATGGCGGGCTGGCCAAGATGGGTGTCCAGTCGTGGGTTTGGCTCATAATCTTCTTGTGATAAACCTCCAAATCAGACATTAAACAGGTCTCAGGTTATTTCAGCAACGTCCTGTGAGGCAGCACATGTTCTGTCACACCCGACAGAAAATTCTGGATTTAAAGTATACAAATGAGGGGTGCGAAAGCAAATTCACTCTTGTAGGTGCCACTGACCCTGGCCTGTGACCTGCTGGGAGTGGCAGCAATCTTAGGGGGCAGCAGGACCTCTTAAAAGGCACAGGCAGGTGAAAGATGCTTTCTCTTTGAGTGTATTCCCCGAAAGGGGAAAAGTAGAGTAGGAGGTGAGAAAGACTTTAATAATAATCTTACTTAAGGAAAGAGAACAGTACGAGGATTAAAACAATTAAAATATAAGAAAAACACCAGTGTGATAAACTGTGAACAGAAAACATTCAGAGTGTGTTAGGTCTACGGTCTAACTGTAGTTTCAGAGCTGTGGGCAGTGTTAAGGTGTATCAGCTTTTACTTTTCTGTAATTTTTTTCCGTTTCCTCCCTCATTCTTGTTTCTTATTTATCCCTCTTGTTATTATATATTCCTCCCCCATTCTTGTTACTTATTTATCCACTTGTTGCAGTTTATCTGCCTTGTAGACTGCAACCCACTTGGTGCATCTTATTTCAGCTGTAATTTCTTCAGCACAGCGTGACCTAAGGATCCCCGAAACAGCTGCTGGGGTGGAGAATAGGAGAGCTTGTGTGCTGAGAAATGGGCTAAACAAGCAATGTGTCTGTCAAGTGTGTTATTAATGTGTCATCTGTGGAGTCCCTAGAAAGCTGGTCACCCACCGAAGATCAAAATCTCAACAGAACACATATAGTGTTCAAGTGTAGTGTAAAATATATAAATTATTACCAGCTGCAACTGGCTGTGGGGAGGTTTGGGCTGTAGCTTTGGGCTCTGAACTGAATGGAAGGCTGGGTATTGCCCCGAACCCCAGTGTTTGCAATATATTTTGGTTATCCACAGAAAAGAAATCAAGAAACACCAGAGGAATCCAAGTGTTGAACATATTGCAGCATTTTATTTGTAATTATATTTTTTTTTTTCACTCTGGATGCTGGAAGTCTTCCTGACTAAGCTTTGCTTTGCTTCACCAGGAAGCCCGTGTGGTGTCAGGGGCAGAAGGGGAATCAGGGTGAAGCTGACAAATGTAAGGCAGTCCTTCCTTTCAAGAATGACTCAGAATAAAGTGGATAATATCTAAGGTGCCTCATTCTTAGGCAGAGGGAGTGGTAGCCCATGATAAATATATCAGAAGAAATAAAGGTTGAGTGTTTACAAGGTTTCCCAACAAGGAGCCAACGTGTGGCATCATCGGCCTTGCCCAAACGCTGAGTTTTTGGGAAGGGCTTGCTTTCTCTGGACACAAGCCAGGCTGGTCCCTTCCACTCTGTAAAGAACAGAAGGACACGTGATGGCTCTAAGCAAACC